CCCCAAAACCCCAAAACCCCAAAACCCCAAAACCCCGAGCCTATTTCATAATATTGAAATGCTAAAATATTATAAATTGTATAATATTATATACCTACAAAATTAATTTAATATATTTCCAAAATTACGAACTTTTGATAAAATCACAAAAATGGTGAAAATCGAGACAGGTTAGGAATTAGTGGTTATGAGTAAAGACGTAAGAATTTAGGGCTGTGCGGGTAATGCTGATGACGTTGCTGATGCGATATCTGAGGGACCTTTGCTGTTGCTGGCGGTCACTTGGACCTGTACAGTATCGCCCGTGGTAAGTGAGTATGTGCTCCTTACTTCTGTCTGTGTTAGTGTGCATTTTGCATCTGCTAATACGTCTGCTTCTGAACAGGTAGATATAGTGACAGCTTGGTATGAGCTGCCGTTGTAGATGTAAACTTCATAGGATGTTAGTGATGAGCCTCCATTTGAACTAGGTGGTTGCCAGTCAATAATGACATCAGAGGTTCCGACTAGGGTAACTATTAGGTTCTGTACAACTGAAGGAGGCCCAGCAGCGATGTAGTCGAAAGTACTACTGGCGGTGCCTGTTCCATGCTTGTTGGCAGCTGCGACCGTGAACTGGTAAGTTGCTCCAGTAGTCAATCCAGTGAACGTTGTTGAAGTTCCATCTGCAATTACTACTTCTCTTGTTGTTCCATTCATAGTGACGACATGCTTGGTAATTTCAGAGTATCCTTTAGCGGTCTCAGTCGAAAGTGCTGTCCAGGAAAGGGTTATAGAGTCTACAGTACTGGTAGCTGATAATCCGGTGATGGCGACTGTAGGGGCACTCTGTGCTTTGATAACTTCGGTACTAACTGGACTTTGTGTTGATGCTGTAATTGCGTTCACAGCTGATACTTTAGCTTCGATGGTAGTGCCAATGGCATAGTTCAACTTAGCAGCATTGGTAAATGTGGCCATTGGAATAGTACAAGTAGTATCAGTTGCAGCTCTTGTGTTACACTCTGTTGTGTGGTCTATGAACTGGCTAGTTTGGGATTCATCTTTCACGTAAACAACATATGAAGTGACTTCAGCTCCATTTTCATCTGAGGTTGGCGACCAAGTAATTACTATGTCTGTTCCTGACTCTGTGAGTGTAGGCTTTGCCAATGTGGCAGGTGCAGTACCAGCCAGGGCATGAGTGGTGGTAGCAGTGACACCATTACCATGTATGTTCTTCGCAAGTATAGTGAAGGTGAAAGTTTCACCTGCTGGGGTAAGGTTTTCAATGACATATGAAGTTGCTGTTTGATCAGTAATGGTGATAGTTGTTAGTGCATTACTAGTAGATTGGTACGTTACAATGTAATCCGTGACAGGGGAGTAACCATATTCGCTTGCAGCACTATAGGCGTTCCATGTTAGGGTCACATCTCCTGCTGTGGATGTGGCAGCGAAGGTTGGTGGTGGAGTTTGTGGAGCTTCTTGAGCGACAATATCTGCGTTGGAAACTGGGCTCTCTGCGCCTGTTCCTCTTGCGTTCTCAGCAGCTAGCTTAGCGGTGATGGCTGTTCCAGCTGAGAAACCTAACTTGTTGGTTCCAGTACCTGTAATGGTATCCATAGAAATAGTGCAGGATGTAGTCCCCAAGTTGGTTGCATCTCATATAGCAAGGTTCTCTGTATATGCTGGGGTAACATTTCCATCTGACAATAACACATGATATTGATCTACATTTAGTCCATTTGAAGGTCCTGAGAATTGAGTCCACGAAATCACAATGTCGGTAGAGCCTGAAGCTTGGCTGATTGTTGGTGCAGGAGGAGCTTCTGGTTTGTCTGCAGCGATGTAGTCGAAAGTACTACTGGCGGTGCCTGTTCCATGCTTGTTGGCAGCTGCGACCGTGAACTGGTAAGTTGCTCCAGTAGTCAATCCAGTGAACGTTGTTGAAGTTCCATCTGCAATTACTACTTCTCTTGTTGTTCCATTCATAGTGACGACATGCTTGGTAATTTCAGAGTATCCTTTAGCGGTCTCAGTCGAAAGTGCTGTCCAGGAAAGGGTTATAGAGTCTACAGTACTGGTAGCTGATAATCCGGTGATGGCGACTGTAGGGGCACTCTGTGCTTTGATAACTTCGGTACTAACTGGACTTTGTGTTGATGCTGTAATTGCGTTCACAGCTGATACTTTAGCTTCGATGGTAGTGCCAATGGCATAGTTCAACTTAGCAGCATTGGTAAATGTGGCCATTGGAATAGTACAAGTAGTATCAGTTGCAGCTCTTGTGTTACACTCTGTTGTGTGGTCTATGAACTGGCTAGTTTGGGATTCATCTTTCACGTAAACAACATATGAAGTGACTTCAGCTCCATTGCCAGCGGGTTCGTTCCATAATATTACGATATTGGTTCCGCTTTCATGTAAGGAAATAGTTGGAGGATTAGGAGCCCTAGCTATCCAAATGGATTGTGAAATAGCATTAGCAGATGAACCATAAATATTATCTGCTCTAACACTAAATTCGTACGTTTTGCCTGTCTCAAGGAACTCGATTGCAATCGATGTACTTGTAGTCGTTTCTTTAACAGATAACGGACTTGAATTTCCACTATCCCATAGTATAGAATAAGATGTAAGAGCTGAATATCCTGCTTCTTCAAATGTCAGAGGGTCCCAGGATAACGCAGCTGTGTTCATACTTGGAGAGGTGATTGCAAAGTTAGTAGGTGCTTTGATAGGTGCAGATTGCATTACGACTCCTACTGTATTCTCATCACTCTCTGGTCCCCACCCTTTACCATTATGAGCTAATATCTTAGCTTTGATTAGCTGTCCGTTTGTATAACCGTAGGATGAGTCTCTAAACTCTGCCATATCTATCAAGCATTCTCTGTTTGTGATTACATCACTGTTAGTGCCATTGCAGAGATTAGTATTTTCAGCATAATCAGTGTTGAAAGGAGAATAAAGCATGATTCTGTATTGATCTACACTGTCTCCATTCTCAACTGGAAGATTCCATTTAAGTTTCACATTCTTAGTGTTTGATACTGATACTTCTACTTCAGTGAATGTGATAACATCCATCTTTGCAGGTACGAGAGCTACTAATATTGACACTTGTGATGATTCAGAACCATCTCCAAACTTGTTAACAGCGATAACTTTGAAGATATAGGTAGCTCCAGAGGTCAAATTGATAAGATCCTCACTAATAGAATTTCCAGTTGAGGATAAATGTACAGAGAAGGAAGTTCCGCTTCCACCATTTGAGAGAATCTTGTAATCTCTGACAACTTCATATCCACTCTGTGCATCCGATGTGACTCTTGTCCATGACAATTGAATAGATGTTGTAGTTAGTGAAACAGCTGATAATCCAAAAGGTGCTTGTGGTACAGTTTTAGCAAAAACAGAGTCAGCATTAGCATCTGAAATTGGACTCCAGCCTATTGTGTTGTGTGCTTCTACTTTTGTTTTGATATATACACCAGCAGCATAGCTATAAGTAGTTGTGAACACACTCATCGGAATCTCTCATCCAAGGTTTGATAGGAGCTCAGCTCCAGTACAAGGACCTTCTTTATAATTCTGACTAGTAATTTCATAAGTAAAATCCAACCTCTTAGTCCATATTGAGAGTCGGTAGTTATTCACAGGATCTCCATTTACTGATGAGGGAGGAGTAAGAGTTATTCTAATCAGAGTTCCAACTTCTGTTAGACTTGGAGGATTCATCTGGGCTGGCTTATCCATAACTTTAGCACTTACAGCAGTTGATAAGCTTCCTTCACCCTGAAGGTTGGTTGCTGAAACCTTAAATGCATAGGTGGTGCCTGCTGATAGACTTCCAACAGATAAGCTTGTGCTAGTTAGTGAAGATTGGTAGACGGTGAAGCTGTCAACTCCTTGATCCCAGTACAAAGTGTAGTCGATTGAATCAACATAAGAAGGGCTTTGTCCACTTCCTGAGGAAGAAGTTGAAGTTACTTCAGTCCATGAGACAAGAAGTGAGGTGACATCTACATTTGCAACAGTTAGTCCTGTTGGAGCGCTAGGAGCCTCTTGTACTTGGATGTCAGTATTCGAAGAAGGTGATAGAGGTCCCCATCCGAGTGAGTTGTATGCTCTTGCTTTAGCTGTGACGATGTCTCCGGCTGAGTATCCTTTGGCTTTCAACTGACTCATTGTCACTGTTCATTTGGTCTGAGACTTAACTGTGCTGTCAGTTCCATCACAGAGATCCGTGTATTCAGTGTAAGTTGTCTGATCGTTGGAGAAGGTTATTTCGAATTTTGATATACTAAGTCCTCCAGATGCTGGATAGTCAAAGGTTATTACAATGTCTGCCAGACTGTACTGAATCACAGGGGCATTCATTACTAGTGGAACTGTTGCTACTCTTATAGAGATAGAATTCGATCCTACTCCTGTGCCGAATATATTGACTGCAGAAATCTTGAAATCATACAAAACTCCATTGGAAAGATTACTAACAGTTACAGGGCTGGTGCTTGAGGTAGCTACTTGTGTGAAGGTACTTCCACTTCCTCCATTGGATGAAATGCTGTATGAAGTCACAGAGGAATATCCGTTTTCTGGAGAAGTTGTTATCAAATCCCAACTAAGACTAACTGAGGTTGTGCTCAGAACACTGGCTGCAAGTCCTGTAGGTGCATCTGGTGCTGTCTTTGCTACTTCTCCACCTGAGTTTGGTTGGGAAGGAGTACTCCATCCTTTAACATTGTAAGCTTCAGCTGTAGCCTTGATGACTACTCCTTTAGTATATCCTAAAGTAGTTGTGAAAGTAGACATTGGTATTGTGCAAGTAAATACATTAGGATCAGATCCATCACAAAGTGATGTGTCTTCGGCATAAACTCCAGTTCCAGCATTATACAACTTGATTCTATAGCTGCTGATATCAGCTCCATTATTGCTTGAAGGGATTGCCCATGTGATTACAATGCTTGTTCCTGATGCTGAGGTTGAGATTGCGTTCATCATTTCTGGAGAACTTGCTATTAAGACTGTGGTTTCAGTTGATAAGATTCCAGGTCCATGAACATTCTTGGCCAAGACTGCAAATCTATAGTTGTTTCCTGTAGTTAATGAAGACCTCGAGAATGTTGTGTCTAATCCTGCAGACGCTATGAATACGAGGGCACTTCCATCTTCAGCTCCATTGTCCCACCAGACATCATATGCAGTGATTGATGAATAGCCATCATCTGGAGAAGAACTAATTGGATTCCAGCTTAAAGAAACACTTTCTTTGTCAGTTGCAGTGCCTGAAAGATTTGCCACTTGAACAGGTATGGTCTGGAACACTAATCCGGAGGTAAGAATGTCAGAGATTTCTCCATATCCTTGGCTATTATATGCCTCAACTCTGACAAGTAGAAGCTGTCCTTTAGTGTATCCGAGACTTGTTCCAAAGTTAGCTATTGCTACAGTGCATGTATTAGTTGTAGTAGGGGATGAATCTGCTAAACCACAGAAGGATGCTACTTCTTTATACTGTGAATCTGCATTATCAAAGAATGTAACACGGTATTTGGTGATATCATCTCCTCTCTTATCTGGCACAATCCATTTAATGATAACATCTGTGGTACTCAAGGTTAGAGAAACTCCTGTTACTTTAGCAGGTGCACTCATTGGTACTGTGCTTACTTCACCTGAGAAAGCTCCTTCTCCATACACATTGATTGCTCTATATTTGTACTTGTATGTCTCTCCAGCAGAGATTCCACTTGTTTGAAGATAGGTATAAGTCGAATCTGCAGTTGCAGTGATCGTTGTAAGTGAAATCATAGTATTGATGATACTTCCTTGGTTCCAAAAGATTTCATAACTAAGTATTGTGCTTTCTCCAGTGTTAGAACCAGTTACTGCATCAGTCACTAACTCAACCTGATTGTAAGCTGTGTTCGTGCCTATCGTAGGAATAGTAGAAGGAGACAGAGGCAAAGTCTTGACAGTAATTCCTCCTGTATTATCAGGACTAAAGTTAGTAGCTGATCCAAGTGAATTAGAAGCTTTGACTTTAGCAACTATGAGAGTATTTACAGACAAGTTAAGTGGAGAACTACTGAAAGTGAGCATTTCTACTTGTCATGTAAATGTTCCGGATGTAGATCCAACGACTGGCACGCATTCTGAAATTCCTTGATCACCACTACTTCCAACAAAGAGTACTGTGTAACTAGTTATGGGAAGACCTCCTGTTGATGGCACACTCCATGTAAAGACAACTTTAGATCCAGAAAGGGAAGTTGTGACTGCAGTAGAAATATCTCCTGGTACAGAAGCTGCGATTATAGTTAGAGTATCAGAATATGGACTAAATCCATGAGCATTCTGTGCTCTAAGGTGGAACTGGTAGCTACTTCCTGCGACAATATTATCAGAATGAGTGTAACTAGTCGAAGTATAAGGAGTAGATTCTCCTGTCACAATGATAAAGTCACCATTACCTTGATCAAACTGTAAACTATATGAGGTAATATCTGAGCCTCCATTTTCTGGGGAGGAAATAGCCTCCCATTCTACTACAAGTTGGCTAGATGTTGTTGAGGATCCTCTTCTTGGAGTATTTGGCTTATGAGGTACAGTCTCCAAAGCAACTGCGTCTCCATCAGCTACATCTGGTGAGAAATCACTCCAATCTACTGAGTTCTTGGCTTGCACCTTTGCTTTAACTAAATTTCCCTGCACTAAAAGGAATGGATCTAACATCAATTCGCTAAAGTCGAAATTGCAGTTTCTACTACTCAATGCTGACGATGAGCTTCCATCACATAGGCTTGTATCTTCGACATAGTTTCCATCGCTCTTGATGATTGTGATTACATAATCAGTAATTGCAACATTAGTTCCTCCAGTATCAGAAGGATCAGCCCATTGGATCTGCAAATTTCCATTTGAAAGGACACTAAGTCCGACTGCAGCAGGTACACCAGGCTTTGTGGCAGCAAGAATATCAACAGTTGGGGAAGGATCCGATGTTCCATAGATGTTCCTTGCAGACCACCTAAGTGTATATGTATCTCCTGAGGTTATTGTGAAATCGGGAGATTCAGCAGTAGCAGTAAAGGTACTTGGGTTAGGAGTTGTGTCTCCGATCACTGCTTGATAGTTTGCTCCGACAAGCATTTCTAAAATGTATGATGTTATAGTAGAGCCTCCATTTTTAGAAGTATCTAAAGGTCCAAAATCAGCAGTGATCTGAGATTTGCCTGTCAATGTATTCCTTGTAGGTGCTGAAGTTGGAGTATGAGGCTTTGTCTTTACAATAATTCCATTTGTGTCAGAAGGATCTGAAGTTCCTTGAACATTTCTAGCAGATACTTTAACTTGGATTGTATCTCCTTCAACTAAGCTTGTTGCTGTGACAATATCATTCATCTCTGGAGAACAGGTAACAGTATCTGGATCAGTGATATCTCAAGAGCTCAAAGTAACAACTCCGCCTGTGCTAGTCGTAAATTCTACAATGTAGGCTAGGATTGTCGATCCTCCATTTGCTGGCTTACTCCATGTTATCTGAACTGTTGATCCTGAATAAGCTAAAGTTGGAGCAGATGAGATCTTCTGAGGAACTTCTGCAACTAATATGGAAGCGGAAGTTGAGTATCCTCCAAAGCCATGATTGTTCTTTGCTTTGTACCGGACAAAGTAGCTTTGTCCATTAGTTAGGCCTGTTACAGTATAGCTAGTGACTAATGATTCAGGAGAATCGCCTCCAAGTATGATCCATCCTCCACTTCCAGTGCTATCATATTCTACTTGATAAGATGTGATTGCACTTCCACCAGTACTTGTTCCTGTCAAAGGAGTAACACTGATTATCATTCTCTGTCCATAGTCTGCATTAGATGTCTCCAGTGGAGCATAATTGCTTAGAGGGGCAACTGTAGGAGTATGAGGTTCTCTTTCTACTAAGACTCCTGTTGCAGAGTGTGGAGATGTTAAGCTCCAGTCAATTCCATTCCTGACTCTTACAGAAGCAATAATGTCATCTCCTTGAGAAAGTCCATAAGTAGTATTCATCTCGCTCATTGCGATAGTTGTAGAAGTGACTCTTCCAACTGTTGTGTGGGTCTGGTTTACATCTGAGCTGTCCTTAATATAGACCTCAACATTGGTGATGTCGTTACCTTTGATATCAGGGTATACCCATGTGACCACCACCTATGAGTCAAGTTAGAGATTATATGAGTAAAGTCAAGATTTCTCAACTTAGAAAGTTTCACTGATACTTATGATAATTATTCTAGTTCAACTTTAAATAGGCTAAATGTCTGTATCACAAAATTTCAAGTAGGAAGACTTACCTCTCCAGTGGAAGAAATAGTTACAACCGGTGCTGCTGGAGTATCAGGCGCTTGGCTTGCTTCAATATATCCAATTGGGGAATATCCTGTGTAGCCAACTTCATTTCGTGCTCTATATCTTGCTCTGTAAAGTCTTCCAGTGATAATTCCTGCAGTAACTATTCTATTAAGATCAAGGACGTCCGAAGAGAGTCCTGAGACTGTTACAAAGTTTCCGCCGTTTCCATCGTCGATTTGAACATGGTAGCTTAGAATACTTCCTCCATTAGTCGTGGTAATTTCACTGATAGAAATCTCTATCTGGTCAGCATTTGTATTTGAACCTTTAGTAGGAGCCACAGTTGGATCTGCAGGAGCTAATGCGAGTAATCTTTCAGCAGATTCTTGTGATGCCACTCCAGTTGTAGCATGAGAGGTCAGGACAAAGACTTTAAACTTGAATGTCATTCCAGTTGGATTTGATGGGAACTCACTAACAGTAAGCTCAGTGATTTCAGGATGTCCTGATAACTCTGTTGAATGTATCTTAGTATCAATAGCTCCTCCTAGTCCATCATTCCTATAAAGTTCATACTCGGTGATAGTTCATCCACCGTTAGAACTTGGAGCAGTCCAGGCAACTAACATTGTTGTAAGTGTGTTCTCTCTGATCACAGGAGTTCCTGGCTGGGCTGGATCTGTGCAAGAGTAAAATTCAGCTAAAGTAGAATACTCAGAAGGACCATTGGAGTCGAGCGCTCTGTATCTAAACCTGTATTGCTTTCCTTCTTCCAACTCAGAGATTGTCACAGAAGTAATACTTGGTTTGCCTCTTCCATCATAGACTTCGCTCCAAGTTCCAGTGACTGCTTCGCTTGACAAGACTCTCCCAGAAGGACTATCCGTTCCATCATTTATCTCAACTGTATATCCCGTTATAGATAGAGTAGAAGTAGCTGCTGTCCAGCTCAGAGTTATTGAAGAAGTCGTTGAATGGCTTGCTGTTAAAGCAGTTGGTGCTGATGGTGGAGATCCTGCAGTGAACCTAGCTTCTCCTGATTGTTCAGACTCACCTTTAGAGTTAACTGCTTTGTAATAGAACCTGTAAGTTGTACCAAGTGTGAGTCCTGTAACTTCATAGCTAGTAGCCGAACCATCATAAGCAGTTATTTCAGTAAAGGAGGAGGACAAAGATCCTGCATCCTTGTAGAGTTTGTGACTACTAATAGGTGCACCATTGTTATCAATAGAAGGAAGTAAGCTCAAAGTAATCGTGGTGTCTGTACTTGACACATAGATAGGCTTCTCTGGAGGTTCAGGAACTGAAGCAGCTAAGATGTAAGTGATATCAGAGTATTCTCCCCAACCATTTATGTTCTTGGCTCTGTATCTCACACGGTAGGTCTTTCCTTCCACAATTCCAGTACTTGTTTGTGCAGAAAGACTTAAGTAATTGTTCGAATCACCTCCTATAAACGTAGTGAATTCGCCTTCATCTCCATCATCGATTTGGACATCATAAGACAGGATGGTTGATCCTTGGTCAGTTGGTTGTGTATAAGTCACACCGATCGTAGTGCCAGATGTTACAGATGTGTCTTCTAGAGGAGCTGCACCTGGCTTTGAAGGTACTCCTGCGACTGTTACTTCTAGTATATCACTTTCTCCATAGAGTCCTGCTATATTCTTAGCCTTTACTTTCACATTCATCTTATTGCCAACAACTCCAGTGGGAAGTTCAGTGATCGTAAATGTTCTCAAGCCTGGCTTGTCGTGGACAGAGAAAGAATGAACCTCAGTGTATGCACTTCTAGCTAAGTTTGTGACATAGAGTTCATAGCCTTCGATAACACAGCCTCCATTGTCTGTGGGAGCACTCCAAGTAACTTCCACACTTGTCTGAGTAATTGTACCTAAAACTGGAGCACTGATACCACTTGGGTTTACACAAGCATAAATTCCTACTTCTGTAGAAGTTGGGGACTCTCCTGCAGAGTTTACTGCTGAATGCTTGAACATGTATTGTCTTCCTGCTATTATCGAAGTAGTAGTGATACTTCTCACAGTGGCTATATTAGATCCGTCGTAGATTAGAGTAAAGTCTCCTGAAAGTCCATCATCTCTATAAACTTTGTAGCCAAGGATATCACCAGCAGGAGTTCCTGTTGAGGCAGATGCTACCCATTCTACTAGCACACTTGTCTTAGAAGCAGCTGCCAGTGAGAGGCTTGAAGGTGTTGCGGGTACGTCAGCCAATGGAACTGTCAATGCATTGGATAATTCACTTCTGCCTTTAGCATTTTCAGCTAAGTATTTGAACTTGTAGAACTTTCCAACAGTTAATGATTCAGTTGCAACGGATACATCAAAAGTGAATCCATTTGTGGAGTAAACATAACTTGACATATTTGAGAAGGCACTACCTTCAGTTCCTGAGTCTCTCCAAAGTTCATAGGCTGTCACAAGACTTCCACCATTGTCCTCGGTTACCTTGAAGCTCAGGCTTATGTAGGTGGAGTTGACTGAAACGAGAATTGGCTTACTTGGTGCTTTTGGAACAGTTGCAGCTAATACTTCTAATTCTGGAGAGAATGCTCCAAATCCATGCACATTCTTCGCTCTGTAGATAAACCTATAGGTCTGTCCCTTAGCTATTCCAGCAGTCTGTGTGTATGTTAAGGCAGTGAATGGTGATTCTACTCCTACAAGAGATACATAAGGTGCAGTTGGGCCAGTTGCCATTTGGATTTCATATGAGGTTACCGTTGATCCTCCATTGCTCGAAGTTGGGAAACTGCTTAAGTCTATTGTTATCTTTGTATCATCACTGAGAGCAGTCACAAGTGTTGGCACAGGTGGAGCATCCGGAACAGTGGCCAAGATAGTCGAAGTAATTGGACTAGAGAACTCTCCAACTGAGTTAAAGACCTTCATGTACATTCTGAATCTTCTACCCTCACTCGATGAAGGTACTCTTGTAATCACAAGTTCATTAAGAGTTGGTTTACTTCTAACATTAGCATCATTATCAGAGTTGGCTTCAACAAAGCTTCCATCGATACCATCATCAACAAACACTGCATATCCAGTTATTGGTCATCCACCATTACTCGTTGGAGGACTCCACTGTATTGTAATGGTAGTCTTAGTCACTGCAGAAACAGCTGGTTGAGCTAACCCATTAGGAGCTGAGCATACTTCAAATGAAAAGATAGAACTCCAGCTTCCTGCTCCATTGAAATTGTAGGACCTTACTCTTGAGTTATAAGTAGCTGCTGAGGTTAACCCTGTCTTTAAGAAGTAAGCCCTTAGTGGTTGTCCGACTCCATAATAGATTGTCTGATAGTTACCAAGACCTGCATCGTCAATTTGGAGTTCATATCCAGTTATCTTTCCTCCTTCCAAAGTTCCATCAGAGACAAGGGTCCAAGAGAAGTATAAGCTTGTGGAACTACTTAATGCTCTGTCAACAGTGATAGTTGGGACTGTTGCTGGGGGATCATGTAGAGAAACCATAACTCCTTCACTCCATTCGCTATATCCTTTAGTGTTGTTCGATCTAATTGAGTAGGTATAGATCTCTCCTACAGTTAGAGAATCTGGTACAGGTGTCAAAGTATAAGACATAGTAAATGAGTTTGTCACATAGCCAGCCACTAATGCAATTGCTGAGGTTGACTCAGTTTCCTGTCTCAACTCATAGTGTAGTACAGGCATTCCACCATTATCTGCAGATGGAGTGAACTCTAAAGCTATTTGAGTCGAGTCGACTGTTCCAAGAGTTGGTGCGTTTGGAGTAGATGGAATGCTAGCTATTTAAAAATTAATTAACATTTGCACAAATTGTTTAAAGTTAGATGTATGCGATTTGAATAATTTTAGAATTTAACTACCTGCAATGATATAAGTGACATCTGAGTACTCTCCTGGACCAATGATGTTGTATCCTCTGTATTTTACTCCATATGTCTTTCCTTCTTCGATGTTTGACATTACAGTGACACTAGTGCTGGTTGAGTTCTGAACTACAGACCATACTCCATTAATTTGAATAGCAATTTCATAAGTCAAGATAACTGAACCACCATTCTCTGCTGTTGTGGATAATTCTGCAATAGTGATTCCAATTCTAGAAGTGCTTGTGATCGTAGTATCTTCTGTGGGAGCAATAGTTGGCTTTGCTGGCACTCCAGCCAGAACTATTGAAGATGTCTCAGAATAAGATGATCCTTCTACATTAAATGCTTGAATTCTGAACTTAAATGATTTTCCTTCGCTAGAAGATGGGAATGATGTGACAGTTAGTTCATGCAAGCTTGGCTTGTCTCTAACAGCTGAATCGTTGTCTGAATTGACTTCTGTAATAGCGTCTGTATTATCACCGGCATCTCTGAATACAGCATATCCTGTAATTGGGCATCCACCCGTACTTGTAACACTACCCCAACTGACTAAAATTTGAGAGCTAGTTGATGATACTCTTTGTGGTCTAGGAATTCCACTCGGTGCAACACAAGCATACTTGACAATCTCAGTAGATCTCACTCCTTCTCCTGTTCATGTTGGACAATTATCTGTGGCATATAGCCCTGTGAAATCTATTGCTGCAACAGAGAATCTGTACACTTTTCCTTCTGTAAGTCCACTTATAATAGCTGTGTTAGTCTGTGAAAATCCATTGCCATCATATACAAGCTGTTCTGTTTCTGAAACACTTGGGTCTACCATGTATACTCTGTATCCTCTGATTACACCTGCTGGAGTATTGGTATCTGCTAACAAATCCCAAGTAAGACCAATCTGTGTTGTAGTTGAAAGAGAGTCAACCTTTTTCACATTTGTAATTTGAGCAGGCTTATCTACTTGACCAACAAGAAGGACATTTGACTCTTCAGAGTCACCATGAATGTTCTGGACTATGTACTTGAATTTGTAAATATGCCCGGTCGTAAGTGCTAGTGTACAACTCGAATCAGGTGAAGTACATGCTCCGAATGTGCTGAATGAGCTTGACGAGAGGCCATCTGCATACTTGAACACAAGGCCAGTAATAGGCGAACCACCATCATCCGAGACAGGAGGAATCTGAATGACAATTTGGGATGAAGAGAATGATGTCAGTATCAAATCAGCTGGCTTCTCTGGAACTCCTGACATCGTGAGGTAGGAAATAGTTGAGTAGTCACTCCATCCGTATGCATTCTTTGCTCTGAAGCGGAAGCCATAAGTGTTGCCCTTAGTAACCCATGGAGAAGTAATTGAGAATTTAGTCATCATTGATGAGATGCCATTTGCTCCTGAGTAAACTTGAAATTCCCCAGTTGTTCCTTCTCTAAGTTCTAACGAATAACTGATTATTCCAGATCCGTTCTCTTCTAAGGTAGTAAGAGCTGTGAACTGAACTGTAAGCTGACTCTGATCACTTTCTGCATCAACTCTTGTGACTAATGTTGTAGGAGTAGCAGGGACTGTGGCAATCAATACTGATTTAGATGGGCTATCAGAGCTACTAACACTATTGAAAACAGTAACTTTAACTTTGACTGTTGATCCAGAAGATGCACCTCCAAGAGCTGTAATCAACAGATTTCTGAGTTCAGGCTTGTTCCTGATTGCTGCATCATTTGCTGAGTTAACTTCATTGTATCCGCTTCCTGCATCAAGGTATACTGCATATCCAGTGATTGCACATCCCCCTTGATTAGTGGGAGGACTCCAGGAGATATCAATGTTTGAAAGTGTCACCTATAGATTAGAGAATTTGAACTTACTGTTTCAATTGTTGGGACTGGCATTCCACTTGGAGGAGCACAAGCGTAGGTTGAATAGGAATTTGACAAAGGACTCTCACCATTGAAAGTGAGTACTGAAACTTTGAACCTATACTCCACTCCTTCGGTTACAGAAGAGTATGAGAATGTTGTTTGTGAAGGACTTGTACTCTCTTTTCCATCAAATATTTTCTCATAATCAGAAGTCGCTGTGTTGTAAACATGCAATCTGTATCCGAGGATTGTGTCTCCTGGTGTGTAAACAGGTGTTGAAGCAGACCAAGACAAGAGAATCCTACTGTTTGACCTAGAGTCGATCGTACTAGTAAGTCCTGTAGGAGCAGCTAATAGAGGAGTTGCAGCAATGCTAGTGATGTCACTAAGTTCTCCCAGTCCTCTTACATTTCTAGCTGCAAATTTGAAATTATAGATAGCTCCAGCAGTTATAGTGAATGCTCCGTTTGGAAGTGTAAATGCGCTGGAGGTTCCATCATATGTAGTAATCTGAGTAAAAGCAGTTGGTGAGGATCCTGTAGCCCAGTAGAGTTCATAACTAGTAATGTCACTTCCCATATTGTCAACACTGAGCTCAAGGCTTAGCACTATATTGGTATTTGAGTAAGATGTCACAGTCACTTTCTGTGCTTGGGCAGGAGCTTGAGAAGCAGTAGCTGTACCTTCATCTGAGAAATCGCTCCATCCATACATATTTCTCACTCTGAATCTGAAGACATAAGTCTGACCAACTGTAACATTTGTCAAAGTATATGCTGTTGCCATACTATTGCCAGCAGGGATCAAGTCAGTATAAGTGCCATTCTCTTGTTTTCTGTATTGCAAATGGTAGCCCAAGATGGGACTTCCTCCAGTGTCAGTACTCGAGAAGGTGACAATAACTTGTGTGATTGATGTACTAGAGTCTTCGGCAGGAGCTAATGCTGGTTTTGGAGGAATTATTGCATATCGGATAACAACACTTTCAGAATCATAAGTTCCGAACTCAGTTTCAACTTGTAGTTTTAAGGTATAATCAGTGCCAAGATCAGCTGAGGTCAATGAGGTAATTGCTGCTGAGCGAAGTGTGGTCTCTTCATAATTAGCTGTATTAACCTCATTTGGTCCACTTGATCCATCATCAATGAATAAGGCATAGCTCTTAACAGGACATGCTCCATCAAATGTGGGAGGTTCCCAAGAAACAACCATTTGAGAAGTTGTTGAAGAGGTGAAACTTGGAGCACCGATTCCTTGTACTGCTTCACATGCATAAATTGAAGTAAGATCACTAACTGGCCCTTCTCCATTATAGTTGACTGCTGAAACCTTGAAGCGATACAGCTTGCCAGGAGTTAGTCCAGAAATACCATAGTAAGTAACAGATGCTGAGGAAGTTGTGTAGACATTGTTGAAAGTTCCTCCTGATCCCTCAGCCATATAGACTTTGAATTTGGTTACATCTCCTCCAGGTGAATCTCTATCTGTATTTGGAGTCCAATTTATGACAATCTTATTCTGACTGCTTTGAGCTTTCACATGAGTTGGTGCATTCAGCTGTTCAGGTAATCTTGCTAAAGCAACAGATATGCTTGGACTAAACTCTCCATTTCCAGCTCCATTAACTGCTCTGAACTTGAACTGATATACTTGTCCAACTACCATAGCTGCTTCATTAGTCTTAGTCACTGAGAAAGGAGTTGATTGATCATAAGAGGTTATTTGACTCTCTGTTGCTCCATTATCAGCAGCATCTCTATAGAGTTCATGAGTTGTAATAATTCCTCCATTGTTTTCAGTTGCATAGTTCAAAGATAGACTAATAGTTTCATTTGTCGCTGATAATAATTCAGGAGCAGCAGGTGCAGAAGGGGTGGTGTAAGCTTTGATGTAAGCAACAGGTGAATATCCACTCCATCCGACAGCATTCTTAGACCGGTATCTGAACCTATAAGTTTGTCCTTCTGTGACATTGTATGTTGTATAAGTTACTGAAAGGGAATCAGTATCTACTCCATAGAGTACCATGAAATCTCCGCCGGTTCCATCATCAACTTCGATGCTGTAGCTTTCGATTGGACTTCCGTTGGTGGCTGTGATGATACCTACATTAACTTTGATGGCCGTGTTATTCGTAACTGTAGTGTCAGAAGTTGGAGCACTTGTAGGAGCTGTTGGTACATCTGAGAGTGTGAAACCTACAATATCACTAGTTATCTCTCCTCCTTCAGTTGTTGCCTTAAGTTGGAACATAAATGTCTTTCCTTCATTCCCAGTACCAATTGTGGAACTACTCACAATATGAGATGACAAGGTAGGTTTTCCACTAACTGCTGAGTTATCAATCTCGACTAAGCTACCTCCAGCTCCATCGTCCATGTATAGATTGTATTCTACCACGCTACATCCGCCTCAGTACATTGGTGGAGACCATTGAAGTTCAAACTGAGTAGATGAAGGAGTTACAACGATTGGAGGATCCAATAAGCTAGGAGTACCTCATGCTTTAATTGTTACTTCTGTACTCTCATCAGTCCAACCATTGAATTGGTAAGCTTGGATAGAGAAGATATAATCCTCTCCACTCTCTAAGCTTTCTGCTATATAAGATCTGACAGTTTTAAGGTTAGTCTTCTCATATACGACCGTCTTTGATCCGCCGTTTGCTTTCCTCATGTTGACTCTAAAACCAGTGATGCTTCCTCCAGGAGTCTGAGTTCCAGCCACTTCAGCCCAACTAATAGCAATACTTGTACTGGAAGACTTTGAGGAATCCTTAGCAGGAGTGCTTATAGTGGTTGCTTGATCTGCAAATGCAACTGAGAGAGCAGCTGAGTCAGCTGTCATGGTTTCTGCATTAGTGGCTCTGAACATGAAAGCACAGATTTCTCCACCACTCAGAGATGTAAGGTCTGCTCTTGCAATTGTGTAAGACATGCTATTATCTGTGTACCCAGCAACTATAGTTGTAGGCTCACTTGCTTGGTCTCATCCATTGACATACAGCTCATACTTTGTGATTGAAGCACCTCCGTTGTATTCTGGCCGAGAGAATGAGAGTTCGATGTGAGTAGAATTAGCTGATACAACTGTTGGTCTTGGAGGTGATGAAGGAGTAGTAGCTGCAGCTATCTTTGTCACAGGAGAGTAATCACTCCAGCCGTTTTCGTTCATAATCCTATATCTGAATTGGTATACTTTTCCAGCAACAATGCCTTCTGATACAGTAAAGATAGAGCTAATGCATGCAGTGTCAGAGCAACTAATGTCTGTGTAGTTTCCATCTCCTCCCTGATCTACTTGTACTTGTATCTTTTCGAGAGTTCCTCCATTCAAATCTTGTGCTGTATTTAAGACTTCTACTGTAATATGAGTATCATTTGTTTGGCTTGCAATCTTGGCTGGTCCTGCAGTAGGAGCAACAGGAGTACCAGAGAGGACAACCTCGATGGTTCCACTTTTCACTGATCCTGCATCAGTGATTGCTTCTAGCTGGAATCTATACTTCGTACCTTTATCTGATGTAGTAAATGTGACTGTCTTTGCTCTAGCTGAAGGATTTGTCTTTAGAGTTGTATCAACTTCAGTTGTCAATACAGAATCTGATGTAGTACCCTGATAAAGATTGAATCCGACTAATTCACAGCCACCTAAGTCACTTGGTGGGCTCCATTCTAACACGATTGTTGTTGCAGTACCACTTGAGTAGACAGGAGGATTCAAAGAAAGAGGAGGTAAACAAGCTGGTATAAGAGATTCGTCACTTTCAGGTCCCTCTCCATTAAAGTTCAAAGCCAGGACCTTAAATTTATAGTACTTTCCAGTAACTAATCCTTTAGATATATAAGTCCTCTGGCCTGGTCTATTGGTACCTTCGTAGATCAGGGTATAATTTCCATCGTTTCCTCCATCACGGAATAGCTTATAGCCAGTTGTAGGAATTTGAGTTGCTGCTACTTCATTCCAACTGACTCCAATAGAAGTTCTAGTGCTTAACTCTTCAACCCATGCAGGTGCTGGTGTCGGTTGAGCAGGCAGTTCTGCAGCTGCTATCCTTAGCTCTTGGCTGTAGCTAGTGAACAAGGCAGAGTTCATGGCAAAGGATCTGAACCTGTAGACATATCCTGGCTGAAGAGCATTTACATCTGTATTATCAATAATCAAAGTTTGTTGCGTCGTAGTAGCAGTGTAAGTTCCGAGGTTAACATATCCATTTCCATCTTCCTTATCAACTTGCATCTGATACACTGTAATATCAGCTCCTCCGTTAGAGTAAGAAGTTCCAAAGTTTAGTACTAGCTGAGAAGAGGTTGAACTAACGTATGTTGGCGAACTTGGATCTGATGGTGCTTCTGCTGCTAAGATATAAGTCACATCAGAGTAAAGACTCCAACCAATAGTGTTTCTCATTCTGTATCTCACAGCATATGTTCTTGACATCTGAATTCCAGAAGTGATAACAAAGTCAGTCTTCAATGAGTCTGTAGGATATCCTGAGATTGACTGGAAGTCACCTCCTTGGCCATCATCCATTTCAACATGGTAAGTAGCAATGTATGAACCTCCATCATCAGTTACTTCAGGAATGGCGAATCCAATTTGAGATCCTGAGGTATCACTAGCCGTTGCAGTAATTTGTGAAGGTTGTGGTGGTACTCCAGCAACAAGTGCAGCCAGATATCCAGTGCTTGCTGTTGTCGAAACTACTGTGTCAATTGTGTTGCTTGCAGTCAGTTTGAACCTCACTCGTTTGCCTGTGAAAGCTGACATATCAGCAGTGTACTCAAAGAGACTTGGCTTATTTGCAATGTTAGCTGAGTCAACTACAGTCACAATATTTCCAGAAGCTCCATCATCTCTAAGAAGTCCAAAGCTAGTAATTTCACATCCTCCATCACTCATAGGTGATTGCCAACTTATCCTTAGACTTGTTGAGGTAGACTGAACTAAGGCTGGAGGATAAACTCCATAAGGAGCAATGCAGGAAGTAAGAGTAACTCCGCTACTCAGAGTACCTTCTCCATTGAAGTTCTCTGCAGAAACATAGAAGGTGTATTTGCTTCCTCTAGTAGCATTCGTGAATGTAAATGTAGTACTACTTCCTTTGTAAATTTCTTGGTTTCCAGAATTTGAACCATCATTCATGTAGAGAATATATTGTAATACAGGTAATGCTTCTCCTGTTACAGATCCCCAAGTGAGGGAAATGCTTGTCTCTGAGTTACCAGTTGTAGCTCTTGCTAGACCTGTAGGAGCAGCTGGTTTAGGTGCAAAGGCTATAGATGTTGGCTGACTCCATAGAGAATATCCATTAGCATTCTGGGCTCTAGCTTTGAATCTATATACTTGGCCTGTGGTTAAAGTCACTGAAGGAACTGTGAGAGTAGTTCTGTCAACTTGGTAAGAGTATCCATCAGTACTATAGCTATAATCTGTAATCGTGACACCATCAACCTGGAGCTCGTAGTTAGTGATAAGACTTCCTCCGTTATCTTGACTTCTTGCGAATGCTAAATCTATCGTATCATTGGTTGATGAAACATAAGTAGGCCTTGGTGGAGCTTCTGGCACAGTTGATGCAGACAGTGAAGCAATAGGACTCCAGGCACTCCACCCAACAACGTTCCTGGCTCTGTACCTGAATCTGTAGGCGACTCCACGAGTGATATCAGCTGTAATCGTAAAGGTTGTAGAAAGACTTGGTGAATCATCTCCACCTCTGACTGTGTAGAAACTACCTCCAGATCCATTGTCTCTCTGTAGCTCATAACTTGTCACTGGAGAAGTAGAGGATATAGCTGTGATTTGAACAGTAATTTGCTTCTCATTTGTATCTGAAAGAACAATAGTTGGAGCAACTGTTGGATCTCCAGGAACTGTAGCAGCAACAACACTAATGATGTTGCTCTTGACATGTCCTACTGCATTATGGGCATAGACTTGGAGTCTATATGTCTTTCCAGCATTTGATGTTCTATCGAGTGTTGCTTCTAGAGTAGTACTTGAGATACTTGATGTTTCAATAGTAATAGTTCCGCCTGCGCCATCATCTGAGTATTGCTCATAAGAGGTGATTGGTCATCCTCCATCGTCTAAAGGTGGTTGCCAAGCAATCTTGATCTCAGTGTTCGAAGAACTAATCTTCTCTAATGAGGACATTCCTGAGGGAGCTTCACATACATTTACGGGAAGTATTGTGGATGGACTTGATGGTCCATTGAAGTTAAGAACTTCTAAGTAATATTGATAAGTTTCACCTGTCTCTAGTGGTCCGTGGACATAAGACAGAACATTAGGATTACCATACCCATTGTAAACTACTTCAAATTCTCCGTTCCTCTTATCATCTGCATAAAGTCTATATCCAAGCACTGGAATATCTTGAGAAGTCCCTTCAGTCCAAGTAATCTTGACATGTGTTCTGTTTGAACCACTCAAGCTGTGTACAGGAACTGCTGGTGTTGCTGGTGCTATACCTGCAGCTGCATAAACTATTTCACTAAAGTCAGATTCTCCTCTTGGGTTGATTGCTCTAATCTTGAATCCATAAGTCTTTCCGGCTGGTGTTCCTGGATCGAAGCTGTAAGCCATAGATGAGCCATCGTAGGACGAATCATTTGTGAATGTTGACAGAGAAACTCCACTGTTCGACACATACACTTCATAACGATCGAGATCTTGCCCTCCGTTATCAGTAACAGCTGTGAAGGCAAGGACAATTGATGTGTTCGAAGTAGAGGTAATAGTTGGAATCTCAGGTCTTGCAGGAACAGTCGATGCAATTATGGTGACAGGGTCACTCCATAAACCTTCTCCTACTGAGTTGATTCCTCTGTATCTGACTCTATAGCTTTTTCCTTTAATGATTCCTTCAGTAATAGTGACTTTGATAGCAAGAGACCTTTCATCTTCTCCTCCTTGAACAGTTGTGTATTCTCCTAGATCTCCATCGTCAACTTGGAATTCATATCCTGTTATACTAGACCCACCATTTTGAGGAGAGACTATTTCAGTTCCTTGAGCAACAATCTGTGTGTCTGTAGTCTCAAGAGTTACTTCGGTAATTGCTGCAGAAGCAGCAGTAGGTGTTTCTGCCAATACAAATTGGACTGTCTTACTTGTACTTTCACCTTCATCATTATATGCAGTCACTCTAAACCTGATCCAACTTCCTGTCAAGCTTGATGAAAGAGTTACAACTTTGCTAAGTGTCTCTGGGCTAGTATTTAGTGCAGTATCTACTTCTGTAGAAGCAGCTCCTCCTGTTCCAGTATCTGTAAGAAGACTATACCCGGTGATTGAACAACCTCCATCTGAAGAAGGAGGCGTCCAGTTTAGAGTTATTGTAGTTGTAGTTGAGGTCACTCTTGTTGGAGCTGCAGGCTGGGAAGGAGCATTGCAAGCATGGACGTTAAGTACTGGACTTAAGTCTCCCTCTCCATTTAAGTTCATTGCTGACACCTTGAAACTATACAGCCCTCCAACTTGTAAATGATCTGAGAATGCATACTCTCTCTTTAGTGTATTCAGATTTGCATCATAGATTAGGACATAGTCATCAGCGTTATAAGACATGTACAGCCTGTAATTGTTGATGGGAATTTGAGTAGCTGTGGCAGCACTCCATGCAACTGTAATGTGAGTTGAGTTAGAGCTTGCAGTGACCTTTGTCGGTGCAGACATTGCTCCAGGCAATTCAGCAGCAGCGAATCTAACTTCAGGACTATATACAGAGTAATCAATTTCATTCTTAGCTCTTATCTTGAAAGTGTAGATTGATCCTGAAGCAATAGAATGAAGAGCATTTGTCACATCATAAGTCGAAGGCAAAGTAGTTGTATTTAGAATCGCTGAGAATATAGATCCATCAACTCCAGTATTCATCCAAAGTTCATAACGTTCTATTTGAGATCCTTGATTATCTAAACTCTCAAAGAGATTCAGTTGTATCAAAGCTGAATTCGAGCTCATCAAAGTTGGTCTTGGTGGTGCAACAGGAATAGTGGCAGCTTTCGCAACCAAGTTAGCAGAGAAGTCAGACCACCCAACAGTATTTCCAACTCTGTATCTGATCCTATAGTTCTTACCTCTAGTAATTCCTTCAGTTATAGTATGAGTCCTTTGGAGAGAACGAGTGGTATATCCGGCAACATTCCTGAACTCACCACTTTCACCGTCATCGATCTGTAGATTATAAGTCACAATTGGATCATTTCCACTATTAGATACAGTTCCTAGCTCTACAGTAATTCTACTGGTATCTGTCTCTGATTGGATGAGAGTAGGTGCACTACTTGGCTGGTCAGGTACTCCTGCTAGTTTGATGCTGATCGCAGGTGACTTTACAGTAGTTTCGTCAGTGATCACTTGGACAATGATGAGGAATGTTAAGCCTTCAGGACTTGCAGGGAATGAGCCGATAGTTGCTGTTCTCAAAGAAGGGTTAGTTCTGATTGTAGCATCATTTGAAGGCACAACTTCTGTAGTAGGTTCAGTCAGGTCTCCATCGTTTCTGTAAATAGCGTATCCAGTGACTGGACATCCTCCGTTGTCTGTAGGTTCTTGCCACTCGATCGTGATCGATGAGACTCCGCTGGTACCAGTTGGAGCGTTGAATCCACTTGGAGCGACTCATGATCTGAAGGTGTAGACAGCACTATCTGCTCCTGGTCCATTGAATCCAACAGTCTTGACCTTGAACTTATATTCCTCTCCGGTAGCGAGACCTCCAACGACACAGCTTAATGTTTGTGCATTTGTAGAACCATCATAAACAGTCACAAAGTTACTGCTTCCTGAGATTGCCATTGTGACAATATATCCATAGACTGTTTTGCCTGTTTCACTTACTTTACTCCAACTTAAAGCAATAGAGTTCTCTGTTGAAAGTGTTCTGTCTTTAGTCAATGTACTTGGAGCAGATGGGGCTGAGGAGGCTGCAAACATTCCTAGAAGACTCATCTCTGAGCTTCCAGCTTCATTGACTGCTACAATTCCAATTCTGTAGATTGCTCCTGCAGTCAAGCTTGAGATTTCGTAAGTTACATCACCTGAAGATGAGAAGCCATGTAAAGTTGTAACTTCTGAAGCAAAGTCTCCTGAATCTATGTAGACATTATATTTGGATACAGGGGATCCATTGTCACTTTCAACACTGTGAATGTTTATCGTTATATTTCCTGCTTGCACAGCTGACAAAGTAGGAGCTGGAGGAGTAGAAGGAACTCCAGCAACTAGTAAGTAAGCAATATCACTCCAATCGCTCCAACCTACTTTGTTCTTTGCTCTATATTGTACACGGTATCTATCTCCTGTGGCCAATGAAGTACTTGAAACAGTATGACTTAGAGTAAGTGTATGGTTAACATCCCCTCCAGCAAAGGTCTCAAAGCCATTGCCTAGATCAATCTGTAGTTCATATGTGATAATAACAGAGCCACCATTAGCGGGAGCAGTCATTGTAATAGTTAAGTCTTTTCCATTTGATGTTGAAGTAGCAATATCAGGTTTATCTGGAGGTGAGGCTAGAATGAATGAAACTGTATCAGAATCTATACTTCCAGCATTGTTAGTCCCAGCAACCTTGACCTGGTAGACATTACCAACAGTCTGCGATGAAAGGTCAATTGTGTATTTAGTTAAGAATGGCTTTCCATTGATACTTGTTGGATCGTATTCAGTAAATGAACCACCTTCAGGAGCCCAGAAGATTCCATATCCTGTGATTCTACATCCGCCATTCCAGGTTGGCTCTTTCCAAGATATTGTTACTGTTGTAGAAGTCACTGAGAGGATAGTGGGTGATGCAAATCCAGATATTGTTGTACATGGGGTCAAGGAAGCAATGTTAGAATCCGGTCCATCACCATTAATATTTATTGCTTTGACTCTGAACCTATAAGTCAAATCAGGATCTGCATTTGTGAACAAGTATTCTCTGATTCCTGGAGAGTTTGATCCATCAAAGATGAGGCTGAATTCGTCAGCTCTTCCAGAGTCTACATAAAGCTTATATCCTTGTATTGTCAGGGTATCTCCTGAGACTTCATTCCAGACCACCTTAATAGTGTTCTCAGAGGATCCATCTAAATCTTTGGTAGGAAGATCTGGCTTGGAAGGAAGTGCTCCAACAGCAAATAGTAGTGTCTCACTATAATCACTTTGTACTGAATCTGCATTGATTGCTGCCATTCTAACCCTGTGCAGAGTGCCTGCTGAGCCGAGTCCATGTGCTGAACCTAATGTGAATGACATTGCTGTTCCTCCATAGCCTGTCACATCTGAGAAGGTCGAAGTGAGGTTATCTCCAGCATCAATTTGAAGTAAGTAAGAGCTAATCGGAACTCCATTATCATCAGGACTTTCTCCAAATGTTAAGACTACTTGAGTATCACTTCCCGAGCTAAACAAAGGTTTAGGAGGAGGCTCTGGCTTAGAAGATGGTGTGATGTATGATGTTTCAGAGTATGGGCTCCATCCTGCTGCATTCCTAACTCTATACCTGAAACGGTAGTTCTGTCCTCTTGTCACATTCGATACAATGTATGAAGTCTTATGAGTAGAGCAGAATATTTCTGTGAAGACACCACCTAATCCATCGTCCATTTGTAAACAATATTCTAAAAGTGGTGCTCCTCCAGTATCGGTATTTGTGTTCTCAAAGTCCACTTTTATCTGGGAAATATTTGTGACTTCAGAGTCTGAGCTTGGCTTGGGAGTTGGAGTAGCAGGTAGGTCTGCAAGTACAAAGCTTGTTGCACTACTCGAGACAGTTCCAATGCTATAGAATATTAAATGACAATTACCTGTTTGTTGCAGACACTGCAACTCTATATGTGTTGCCTTGAACAACTGTTCCAGAAGTATCTGTATAACTTAAGCTTCCATCTGTGATAACTTGGACTGAGGTAGAGAGGTCTGATCCATTCCCATCGTCTCTGTAAATAGTGATACTTGTCACTGCTCATCCACCATCATTGGAAGCACTGTTCCATCTGACAGTATAGCTTGTGCCAGAGATGCTCGTAATAGTTGGTCTTTCTAGTCCTGATGGCTTAACACAGGCAGCAATGGTTAATGGTGAAGTCTCAGTTCCTGGTCCGTTGATGTCGACAGCCTGGACTTTAAACTGGTAATTTCTTCCAGGTTCAAGGTTTTCAGCAGTATATGTTAGCACTTGAGGATTGGTCTCTCCATTATACACAGTTGAGAAATCACCAGATAGACCATCATCCATTTGGACAATATATCCAAGAATTGGCAAGGCAGAAGTAGTCACTTCATCCCAAGAAATTGTCTTAGTGCTAGGATCTGAACTTGTGGAAGCATCTGCTAGATTGTTTGGAGCAGGTGGCAGATTTCCAACTCCGATAGTTAATTCAGTGGCATACTCAGAATCTCCAAAGAAGTTATTTGCAATATAGGATACTTTATAGATAGTTCCTGTAGTTATGTAAGCCGGAGTATCTGTAGTGTTGAATATGTATTCTGTAGAAGATCCATCATATCCTGCAACAAGGGTAAAGGAGCTAAAGGGATCATTCAGACCTCCAATGTATAGTTTGTTAGCAAGTACAGGGCTTCCTCCGTCATCAAGTGTCTGACTCATTCCAATGGTAATCGAAGTAGAACTTCTTGCTTTAAGTATTGGTTTTCCTGGTGCATCTGGAACAGTGGCAGCTCTGATGAATGAAATAGGTGAGAATTCAGACCATCCAGCTGCATTCTGAGCTCTATACCTAAACCTGTGATCTCTTCCCTTTGTGATATTACTAATTGCAATGTATGAGGTATCAAGGTAAGCTCTATCAAAACCAATAAGTGAAATCCATTCAATTGCATCTGGAGGACTTAATTGCAATTCATATGAAGTAATGTCAGATCCTCCTGTTGTTGCTACTGCAGTCCATGAAACTCCAATTTGGAATGCATTTGTATCAGCTTGTACTAAAGCTGGTCCAGTAGTAGGTGTTGCTGGCTCGTCTGCTAACACGACTGAGATGATTGAACTAAGAACGTTTCCAACACCGTTGAAAGCTTGAAGTCTGAATCTAAAGCTCTTTCCTGTCTCTGAACTTGCAAAAGTCTTAGTGTATCTTCTTAAGTATGGTTTGTCTTGAATATTCGAAGCATCAGTGACTGCAAGAGAAGTTCCAGGACCACTGTCCACCCATAAGCTATATCCTGTTGTGCTTCATCCTCCTGTTTCATCAGGTGGACCCCATGTAAGAGTAATTGTTGTCTCAGTTACATCGACAACTGTTGGAGGATCTAAGCCTATTGGGTCTTCACATGATACAAATATAGCTTCATCACTTAGTTCACCTTTTCCATTGAAGTTAATCGCTTGAAGTTTGAATCCATAGGATTTTCCTGGTGTTAACAAGAGAGCTGTGTAAGTCAATCTGATTGGGTTAGCTGAACCATCATATATCAATTTGTAGTCTCCACTACTTGAGATGTCAGCCCTATATTTCAACATTAGCTTATGTCTAATTAAGTAAAAACTTGGCAAAATACTTTGGAGTAAAGTAGCTATCTAATATCTCAAAACATATCCTTACATATAGACCAGGTAGCCAGTGACTGCCTCTGTATCTGTGAGTGAACTCCACTGCACCTTAATGCTAGTCTGAGAACTTCCTGCTTGATCCTTAGTAAGTGGATCTGGTTTAGAGGGAAGACTAGCTATTGCAAGTACAACTTCACTTGAAGGATCTGAGGTTCCAAAAGCATTTACTCAATATATCCTGAATCTGTACTTTTGATGAGCGGCTACTAATCCTGAAGTAGTAGTTACAGTGTGAGTCATAGAGTTGTCAGTGTAAGTAGTCACATTACTCCAACTCAATACAGTGAATGGGGAATACTGCAGCACATAATCTGTTATAATTGACCCTCCATCACTTAAGGGAGGTCTGAAGCTGAGAGTTACTGAAGTGTCACTACTTGAAACATATTCTGGAGCCGATGGTTGAGATGGCTCCTCAGCAGCAACAAGATATCCAACGTTGGACCATCCTCCAGCTCCATTGATGTTGTAAGCTCTATATCTGAACTGATAGGTTTCTCCCATAATTAAGTTAGATGAGACGATGTAGGAGTTACTCAATGAAGGATCACTTAAGTTTCCAATCAATGATTCCCAAGAAGATGTATCTTGATTGTACATTTGGAGTTCGTAGGAAGTGATATCACTACCTCCATTCTCAGCAGTGGTTAGTCCAACATAGTCTACCTTGATCTGGGATCCAGAAGACTGAGTATTGTCGGAAGTTGGTGCACTAGTTGGACTATCAGGAGTAGCAGCAAGCATAAATGTAACAATTTCTGAACTCACAACAGTGATGGTAGTTGTTTTAAGCTGGAACTTAAATGATTTAGACGTCTCTGTAGCAGCAAATGATACAGTATGTTCTCTCTTTGAAGGCTCACCTGTGAATGAAGATGCATCAACAACAGTAGTAACAGGAGCAGCAGTACCACTTCCATCATCTCTCAATAGTATGTATTCAAGAACAGGACAGCCTCCATCATCTTTAGGAGCAGACCATTGAAGAGTTAATGAAGTTTCAGTAGAAGAGAGAAGGATTGGAGCATTTAGCCCAGTAGGATCAGAACAGAAAGTGACACTTGAAGCATCACTCATTTCACTAGCTCCATTAAAGTTAAGAGCTGTAACTCTGAAGGAATAGACAAGCCCTCTAGTTAGTCCGGTTGCAGTATAAGTCCTTACATTTGGGAAGTTGTTTCCATCATAGATAATTGTTTCATCTCCTCCATATCCGTCATCCATGAAGAGTTGATATCCAACAACAGGAAGTTGCTTATCCGCACTTACACTCCATTGCATTGTTATGCTGGTAGTTCCTAAGCTTGAAACAGTAGGTGCAGCTGGTTTGTCAGGGAAGTCAGAAACTCCTGCGTCTATTGTATCAGAATAATCACTGCTCTCAATCTCATTCGTGGCCAAATGCCTTAACTTATAGATTGATCCAGCTGCTACCAAAGTGCTCGCCACAGTAACAGTTTGCTGTGATCCTGGTTCTGCTGTAGTAACTACAGCTGTGTAAACATTTGAGCTTCCTCCTGCATTAACTTGAAGTGTATGCTTAGTTACTGGAGCTCCTTTAGCATCGGTTGTGGGAGGAATCGAAACAGTAATTCCAGTAGCATCTGCAGTAACAAAGACAGGGGGTGGAGGTCTGGCAGGTCTTGCAGCAGCTTTAATGTAAGTAATTGGAGAGTATGAAGACCATCCAGCAATGTTCTTTGCCCTATATCTGAATCTATACATCACTCCACTCTGAATTCCAACAGTTATTGTATATGTTGTTAGTAGAGTATTAGTAGTTTCTCCTGCGAGGGATACAAAGCTGCCTCCATTACCATTGTCCATTTCAATGCTATAGCTGAGAATAGTACTGCCTCCATTGTTTGCTGAAAGTAGAGGAGAGTAATCAACTTTGATCTGAGTGTCATCAGTTACTGTAGCGTCAGAGGTAGGACCAGCAGTTGGAGTGTCAGGAACAGAAGCTAAAATGACACTTAAGTGAGAAGAGTCTGTTGAACCTGCAGCATTAGTAGCTCTGAGTTTGAACCTGAATGTAGATCCAGCTGGTGACAATGAAGTGATCGCATACTCTCTTAAAGAAGGTTTGTTGTTGACTGATGAAGCATCTACTTCTATCGAAATTGCTTGGCCACCGCCATTATCTCTGAAGATAGAGTAGGAAGTGATTGGGCATCCATTATCAATCGGTTCAGTCCATGCAATGCTTACTGAAGTCTTTGAACTTGACACTAAGGTTGGAGTTTCAAACTGCTCTGGTTTCAGACAAGCATAGATTTCGACAGAGTCACTTAGTTCAGATTCTCCATTTACATTTAAAGCAGAGATTGCGAATCTGTATGCAGTTCCAGTGGTAAGTCCTCCGAGAGTGTATTGCAATGTGTTTGGTTTAGTAGATCCATCATAGATTTTGCTTAAAGCTCCGCCTAATCCACCATCTCCATAAAGGTAATAGCCACTGATAGGCGTACTGTACACTTCGGTAGCAGTTGCCCATGCAATTGTGAGTGAGGTGAGGGAGCTTTGCTCTTCTACTTTCGTAGGTGAAGCTGGTTTTCCTGGGAAGTTTCCTAAAGCAGCACGAGTTTCCTCTGAGTTCTCAGAATCTCCAAAGTCATTCTTTGCTATTAAGTAGAATCTGTATGTTGTGCCAAGGGTCAGAGAATGTGTAGTCTTGTCAACTTCATAGAGCAAAGCAGATCCATTATATATCAATGTTGGGTTACTTGTAGGTCCTACTGGATCCATGTACAAGCGATAGTTAGTTACATCTGATCCACCGTTATCACTTGGTGGTACAAATCCGAGGTAGATCTTATCAGAGTCAGATAAAGTTGGGTTGTAGATCGGAGCAGGTGGCTTAGTTGGAACAGTAGCTGCCTTCAGAAGAGCTGTGTCACTGAACTCACCCCAACCATTTGCATTCTCTGCTCTGTATCTTACTCTATAGTCTTCACCTCTTGAGATTCCTTTTGTGTAGATCAAAGAAGGAGATAGAGTGTAAGTTGAAGTAAATGGTCCATTGGCTCCATCATCAATCTGGATTTCATACCTTGTGATAGGAGATCCTCCAGCAAGTGCATCAGTAAATACTGTGATATCAACCTTAAGCCTTTCTGTATTTGTCACTGATGTATCAGAAGTGGGAGCTGTCGGCTTGCCTGGTAGTGATGCAAGAGCAATTCTTGTAGTTGCAGATTCTACATATCCAGCTTGGTTCAAAGCTCTAACTGAGAAAGTATAGATCTTGCCAACAATGGTGTTTACACCTCCTGGATCAGGATCAGTGAATGTTACAGTAGCAGTATCAATGCTTGGATCGTTGTTTGCAACTGAAGTTATCTTAGTCGTTGGTAATCCTGTGGAGCCATCATCCCTATAAACTTCAAATCCAGTAATAGGACAACCTCCTTCTTCTGTTGGTGAATTCCAGTTTAGACTAATTGTCAAAGCATCTTTGTCTGAACTCTTGTATTCTGGAGCAGCAAGCCCAGCAGGCACATCACATGCATAGAGAGTAGTTGGATCAGAGGCAATACTGTCTCCATTTGAATTGAGAGCTTGAACTGTGAAAAGGTAAGGAAGACCTGTAGTTAGTCCAGAGACAGTGTACTCTGTCAAATCAGGTCTGTTAGTTCCAACATAGACTTGTGAGTATTCTCCTAACCTTCCATCATCCATGTTTAGTATATATCCAGTGACAGATAAAGGAGCACTGACAGCAGACCAATTAACCGTTATGGAAGTCTTAGATGTTGTGCAGTCAGAGGCAACAATAGCAGTAGGCTGAGGAGGTACATCTCCAAATGCAATATAAGCTTCATCTGAGGGGATACTATCTCCAATACCATTCTTTACAATTACCCTGAATCTATAAGTTGACCCAACCGCATAGCCATCGACTCCATCAGTAGCAGAGTAAGTAAGTGAGTCAGGAGTCAGAGTCGCCATAAGGTCGAAGACACTTGTTGCTGTGTTATATCTGTAAAGAAGGTAAGACTGGATTGGAGAGCCACCGTTATCTTTAGAAGGCTGGATGTCTAAATTCAAAGTGCTTGTGCTGAAACTACTAAAGGTCGGCCTTGGAGGAGCTGTTGCAACATTGGCAGCAAGTATGAAGCTAATTGGTGAATAATCGCTCCATCCAATAGCATTCTCGACTCTGTATCTAAGCCTATATTCAAGTCCTTTCTCAATATCAGATGTGATCCTGTAGGTAGTGAGCAAACTGTTTGAGGTGAATCCAACTAATTTCCTGAAGCTTCCTCCTTTGCCGTCATCTATCTCAAGAGAATATGATAAGATTGGACTCCCTCCGTTCGTTGGAGGGCTAGTAAGGCCATAAGTCACACCAATTTGTGTCGCAGAAGTCACAGAAGGAATGTTTACTGGACCAACGGTACTAGAGGCATCTGGAATACTTGCAAGTACAAGTACCACTGCTCCACTCTCAGCTTCTCTTAAGCCAAGATTATATGCAATCACTTTGATTCTAAATGTCTTTCCAACATCAGCACTGGCTGCTGCAAAGTTAGTAATAGTTGCTACATCAAGAGAGGGATTGTTTCTGATTGCAATATCATTAGCTGAGTTTACTTCTGTTGTGATAGCTCCTGAGTTTCCATCATCCCTGAAAACTGCGTAGCCTGTAAGTGTGCAACCGCCATCATCTTCTGGAGCTTTCCATTGAATCTGAATCTGAGTAGAAGTCTGTGAGATACCAACAGGGCTAGCAAATCCAGTTGGACTTGTACAAGCATAGAAAGAGGCAATTGTACTATCAGGTCCTTCTTCGTTATATCCTGCAGCTCTAACTTTGAATCGATATTGCTTTCCTGTTGTGAGCCCTGTCTTTAGGAAGCTTAGTGTACTTGGTTCGAAAACTCCAGCAAAGATATCAGTGAAGGAACCTCCTTCACCATCATCCATGGAGAGGATGTATCCTCTGATAGTCGCAGTAGTATCGGTCTTTGCTGCCCAGTGAATGTAAAGAGATGTCTTGGTTGATTGTGTCCAATCTACTTGGGGTGGGTCTAGTTGCACTGGTCTTGTAGAAGTTTCAACTGTAATGTGGTTACTTTGCACAGAATCTCCATAAGCATTGACAGCCACATAGGCGAATCTATAAGTAGTCATTGCTGCCAGACCAGTCACTTGATAGGTAGCTTCTCCACCATAAGCAGTAACTTCAACATTAATATTACTAGTTCTATTTCCTGAATCTCTGAATAACTTAGTTGAAGTAATCTTGGAACCCCCATTAGAAGTCGAAGTCAATGAATCATCAAATGTATTGACCAAATCCAGAGTAACAGATGATGCATCTGCAGTGTTATATGTAGGAGCTTGAGGAGCATCAGGTACTGTTGCTGCTTGGATTCTACCAACCAAGCTCCAATCACTTGGACCAACGAAGTTAACAGCTCTGTATCTAAAAGCATAATATTCTCCTTTGTTGATATTCTTTGTAACAGTGAAAGATAATGCAAGAGACTTCGGTTCTTCTCCACTGATGGTAACGAAGTCATTGAGGCTGAGAGATCCCATCTGGAGTTCATAGCTGGTGATGACAGTCCCTCCATTATTACTTACTGCTCCATAAGACACGCTGATTTGAGTTCCATCGGTCATTGCACTAACTACGACTGGAGCAGCAGTAGGCGTATCAGGTACACTTGCCAATATATACGGTGCTGAGTAATCACTGTCTCCTGAAGTTTGGACATTGATGGCCTCAATATAGAAACTGAAGGTATCTCCTGCTGTTGCGCCTGTTGGGAAAGTGTCTCATTCAAACTCTCTGTTGAAGGGATCATTACGAGTGTGAGTTGATACAGGGTTTACTTCAGTCCAAGTGGTTCCGGTGCCATCTTCATCTCTGTAAACAGCATAGTCTTGAATCAAACATCCTCCATTACTTTTTGGTGGGTCCCAAGCAACTGTTATTGTGGTATGTGTAGTGGATACTAATCTAGGAGCACTAAATCCGGTTGGTTTGCCTCATGCATAAGCTGAGAGTTGATTGGAAGCAAGACTCTTTCCGTTGAAGTTATTACTATAAACTCTGAATTCGTAATAGCCTCCAACTGTCAGTCCTTCAACAATGTGTGATGCTATGTCTGGTTCTGAACTTCCATCATAGATAGTCCTAAATGAACCATTCTGTTCCCTCATTTGTAGGATGTATCCAAGGATAGGTAGGAATCCATCTGTAGCCTTAGTCCACTTTACAGCTATCTTTCCAGGGCCTGACTTTAGTATTTCGAGTGATAAACTTGTTGGTGTATTTGCTTGAGCTCCGAGTCCGACTCTCAATGGTTCAGACACTTCACTATATCCGATAACAGACTTTGCTCTCCATCTGATTCTGTACTTGCTTCCTTGAGCCAAGCCATTAGCAGTTCCAAGAGTGTGAGTTCCAGAGCTTGCTGAGTAGTTTCCGAAACTTGTGAAAGCACTGTTAAGAGACCCACCATCATAGAACAACTCATATTCAGTAATCTTTGCGCCTCCTGAGTCTGAAGGTTCATTCAGATCAAAGGTGATAACTGTGTCTGTGACAGAAGTCAAAGAAGGTGCAGGAGGCTTCGATGGAACATCTGCTGCTATGAGATAGCCAATAGGGCTGAACTCACTCCATCCATTGATGTTTCTTACTCTGTACTTATACCGATAAGTTCTCCCATTGACTAATTCAGTGTCAACATAAGTTGTGCCTAAAACACTCTCTTTGTCATATAGAGGGTTAAAGTCTCCTCCTACTCCATCGTCTCTATAGATTTGATACCCTAGAATATCAGAGCCTCCATTCTGGGCAGTAGTCAAAGCTGTGACAGAGACACCTATCTTGTTCTTTCCTGGAGAAGATGTATCCTGAGCAGGAGCTACAGTGGGGGTATCTGGAACAGCAGCAAGAATAACAGAAATTGTGTCACTCTCTATTGTATCTATCTCATTCGACACAGAAAGCTTGAAGATGTGAGCTGTTCCAACACTTGAAAGTCCTGTGACTGTCCAACTTGTGATGTAAGGTCTGTTTTGAATACTTGAACTATTAACCGCATCAAAGCTTGTTGTGCCTGAGTTGTATAAGAATAGTCCATAGGTTGTGATCGGACAACCTCCGTCATCCTCTGGTTCACTCCATTTCAAAGAGATTGACGTAGAATCAGCAGATTCAAACTGAGGAGCAGAGAGACCAGTAGGTGGCTCTCAAACTAGCCAAATTGCTTCATTACTTGCTTGACTAAATCCATTATAGTTCTTTGCAATCACATAGAATGAGTATCTTTGACCAGTGTTTAGTCCTGTAATATTTGCACTGAATGTAGAAGGTTGAGCAAATCCATCATAAACTAGTTGAAAATCACTTTGCTCAGATCCAGTTGAACTCATGTATAAGCCGTAGCCTTCCACATCAAGATCTTGAGAAGTTAAGGCAGTCCAGGAGACATAGAGAGAAGTCTTTGTGCTTTTAGTCCTATCTAGGGTTGGTGTATTTGGTATATCAGGTAAGGATCCAAGACCAAATGAGACTATAGTGGATGAAAAGTGTCCGTCGCTTGAAATTCCCATGCCAATTGAATTCTCAGCAGAGAATCGGAACCTGTATACCTTTCCTGTTACCATATCTGGTTCATCTGTAGTGTTAACTTCAAACTGCATATCAGTTCCCTGATAGGCTGTAATCTCAGTGAACACACTTGGGAAAGTTGCATTGTCTCTGTAAAGATGGTATCGTGTTATTGGTAATCCTCCTGTGTCAGTAACCGGTTCAAAGCTGAGAGTAATTGAGGTACTTGTGCTGCTGACATATTTCGGAGCAGGAGGCTTTCCTGGTACTTCCCCAGTTCTAGCTACTGTTTCAGGTGACAAATCACTAGATCCAACTCTATTTGTAGCTGTGACTCTATAGCCATATTGCATACCAGGCTCAAGGTCTGTATCAACGTAAGAAGTCACAACAGCACTGGATGACCCGTCATAAGCAAGTGTTTCACCTCCGTCTTCTTTGTTGTATCTGTAGAGCTTATAGCCAAGAACAACTGAGCCACCGTTAGATGTTATAGTCCATGACACTGTAATTGAGTCTCTGGTGGTTGCTACAATTGTAGGCTGAGTAGTCATAGTAGGGGCAGATGCTAAGATAAACGTAGCTCTAGCACTGAAGCTGCCTTCACCTCTAAGAGTGCTATCAGCCCTCACTCTGTATTGAACATCCGCAGTCCCTGTTATTGGTGAATGAGTATAACTCAAAGTGTTGATATCGGTAGTTGCTAATTGAGCCCAACTTGACTCTGGATCTGTCACACGTTTATGATAAATCTGATATCCTGTAATCTCTGCACCACCATTGTCTATCGGAGGAGTCCATTTAAATGTGACTGAGTCCGTTGCTGAAGAAACCAGTTCTGGAACTCCAGGAACTCCTGGAATGTTAGCACAGTAGAATGTATCGAAGTCACTCATGAGACCTTCTCCGACTCTGTTAATTGCTGATACTGCAAATTGGTAACTCTTGCCTGCTGTCAAGTTCTGCTGTGTTAGTGACAAGACTGAAGGAGCTGACGATCCATCATACACAAGGATATTATCAGCTGAAGTAAAATCATTCATATACACCTTATAGCCAAGTATAGTAGCTCCTCCATTGGATGTAGGTGCATTCCATGTAAGAGAGATCGAAGTATTGGTGGATGTTTCAAACACTGGCTTGGCAGGTTGGTCTGGAAGACTTGCAGCTGCTAAGTACACTACGTTGGATTCTTCACCAGTACCAATCACATTCTCTGCTTGAATCTTGATTCCGTATTCTGCACCATCAGCTAATCCTGTGAATTCATACTCAAGAGTAGAGAGATCTGTGAGGTTTACAGCTGATCCAAAGGTTCCATCTCCTTGATTATCAATTGAGATTAAGTAGTTTGTCAAAGGTAATCCTGATACAGCTTTGAGAGCTTCCCATTGAATAGTTATAGTTCCAGTAGTTCCTGAAACAGCTCCTTGTGTAGAAGTCTTTAGTGAAGGATCATTTGCTTTTGCTGGCACCGTACCTACTGTCCATGATGAGTCTGTATTAACACTTTGATGTGCTGCATTGTAAGAATACAATGAGAAGGTATACTCTCTTTCTGGTACAAGTCCTGTTGCATTATACAGAATCTGTTCTGCAGTCACGTTAGTCAACAACTTAGAAGGACTTCCAGAAATGCCTTCGTTTCTGTAAAGTAGATACCCAATAACAGTAGAACCTCCGTTACTTGCTCCTGGTGCGAACTTGATTTGTAGTGAAGTCATTCCTCTAGATTCCAAAGACATTGAGGGGCTATCTGGAGCGTCAGCTGCTATAAGACTAATGTCTGCTGAGGGTGTTCCAACTCCAAGAGAGTTCTGAGCTGCAACTTTGAATCTGAAAACCTTTCCAATATCTGCTGCTGCTATTGTCTTTGAATGGGTCAATGTGCCTACAGTAATGTCGGTAGCAGTTCCACCAACAGTATCTTCAGTAACAATGTAGTTCAGGATTGATAAGCCACCTTTATTATCTGGAGCATCCCATTGAATTGTCAAAGTTGTCTGTGATTGAGTAGCAATCCTAACATTTAAAGGTTCAGATGGTTTCTCTCCAGCTATTCCAACTAAGTTATCAGACTCTGTTCCTTTGCCTGCTGCATTTATGGCAGCTACCTTGTAAGTGTAAGATCCTCCTTCAGTAAGGCCTATATCTGTGAATGTTAAGTTGATTCCTCTGTAGATTTCATAGAAGATAAAAAGCCCATTATCCTTGTAGAGAACGTATTCTGTAATTGGAGATCCGTTGTCACTTGGCTCAGCCCACTTTAATGTTATGGTCCCGTTTTTCAAGACTGTTGTATCCTGTGTTAATGAGGCAACCTTTTCTGGAGCAACTGCTGCGATAACACTCAAGACAGGTGAGAAATTCAGAGTAGATCCGAGAGGATTTGTGGTATAGATTTCATTATAAGCAGCAATTCTGAACTTGTAGGTCGCACCTTTAGTAAGTCCTGTGAAAGTATGAGTAAAAGGATTAGCAATAAGCTTTTGAGTCCCTGGTTCGATGAAGTCAGTATCAAATCCACTATTGGTTTGGATGTAGTAGCCTAGAACTGCAGAACCTCCATTGAGTGAGGAACTAAGAGCACTCCAGCTAAGATCTATACTTGTAGTAATTCCACTTGCATCAATAGCGTCGACTGTTAGAAGATCTGGAACTGCATGAGGTACTGTTCCACAGTAAATCGTTGTTGATGGACTTGCAGTAGAATAGTCTGCAATGTTTCTAGCATACATTCTAAAGTTATAAGAAGATCCAGCTGTAAGACCTTCAAATTTCCAAGTCAGTGTGTCAGGTTCATTAGTGATTAAGCCTGTTGTCCATAATCCAGCTCCTTCTTGAAGTTCTACTTTGTATCCAAGTATTTCTGATCCTCCCACAACTGTTGGAGGAGTCCACCTAATTGTAATATAAGGAGAAAGGTTGTTAACAGTATCACCGCTTCTATCGACAAAGATAGGAGCATCAGGGGCTGCTGGTGCTTCTGCAAACACTATTGTCAAGATTTCACCATAGGCTGAATATCCTATCACATTTTGAACTCTCATCCTTAATTTCAGAATTGTTCCAGGAGTTATTCCTGTCACTGCTTTACTTGTGTCTGTTGGTGAAGAGTTAATCACAGTGAATTCGCCGCCTTCTTCATAATCTGCTTCTAGGTAGTAGACTGGATCACTTGTAGAATATCCTTTCTGCTCATTGTTCGTCAAAAGAGTCCAACTCACTGTTGCACTTGTGCTAGTAATTAGGCTTGCAGAAAGGGAAGGTGCTGTAGTTGGTATAACTGAGGTTGAGAAAGAAGTATAAGCACTATCTGCCCCAGTATTAGCAGCAAAGTAGTTGGTCACAAAGTTGTTTGCTACAACTTTAGCAGTGTAGCTTGTGCCTGCAACTATACTCTTAGTACTATCAAACATGAATTCTAGTGCATCAATCACTGTGAACTCTTGTGTTGAAGAATCTGAAGTTTTGGTGATAGTCACCGTGTAAGAGATTATTGGAGCACCTCCATTATCGAAGGGTTCTATCCAAGTGATATTCACAGTTGTAGGATCGAGTACATTCACACTTGGCTTTCCTGGGGAAGAGGGAGAAGTTCCTGCCATCATCTCGTTTGATGAGCTGCTTGTGGAGTCACCAATCATATTTGAAGCAGATAGAATAAAGTTGTACATTATTCCTGATTTTAAATAGTTGATGGTCAATGTATTTGAGGTTGTCTGGCCAACAAGCGAGTATTCCTCCTCAGCTGATTTTCTCATATACAGGTTGTAATTGCTAATGTTTATTGGGTCAGCAGCTGTTCCTCCTGTATCTTCACTAGTCAAAAGAGACCAAGCTACAACAATACTATTTCTAGTAACAGATGTGAAGGAAACTGCTCCAGGTGATGTTGGAGCAACTCCTGGATAAGCTAACAAAGGAGTAGTCAAGAATCCAGAGTCTCCATGATCGGTAATTGCTTTGATATTAATCTCATATTGGGTTCCTGGAGTAAGTCCAGAAATAGTATAGGATGTCACATCATTAAGAGTTGTAGTGACAGTAGTTCCACTGGTATAAGTTACAACATACTCTTTAATAGGGCTGCCTCCAGTTGAGACAGGTGGGTCCCACTCAATTACAATTGAAGTTCTATAGCACTTAGAGGATTGCCTGAGATTGACAGGCTTTTCAGGTGCAACAGCTGTAGTAAACTCACTCATATCACTATATTGCAGAATATCTCCTTCAAAGAGATTTCCTGAGTCATATACCTTATTCCTTCCAGCATACATTACTCTGTAGGTTCTTCCCATGATTAATCCATTTATTGTAAGGGAAGTCTGGAGTGAGTCTGATTTCACAGTGAACGAATTGTCATCTCCTAGTCCATTATCCATCATTACAATATAGCCTGTGATATCTGATCCTCCATTGTTAGCAGTAGGAATTGCAGTAAGAGTGATTGATACATGAGAAGTAGAGAAACTTGAAATTACTGGTGCATTGGTTGGCTTCATTGGTAAATCAGCTGCAATGATCTTGATTGGATTACACACCAGACTTTCTCCAATTGCATTAGTTGCTGAGACTTTGAAAGAGTAGAGTGCTCCGGCTGTAATTGAAGATAAAGTATACGCCCTAATTCCTTCATCTGTTTTGGAAGGTGCAGATATGTCCTCTGTGAATAGTCCACTTCCTTCTGCTTTATACACTTTATATCCAGTAATAGGCATTCCTCCAGTATTAGTTGGCTTTTCCCACTCGATGGTTATTGAAGTGTTAGAACGACTAACAAGAGATAAGTTGATAGGTGTACCAGGTTCTTCAGCTGCATAAATAGCATTTGAGGATGCACTGAGGAAAGATTCACCAGCATCATTAACAGATTTTACCTTGAATACGTAAGTAAAGCCACTCTTTAAGCTCGATGTTGTATGGAACTTTGATAATCCTTTGTAAACCTCTTTGAATTCATTCTCATATTCGGCTTTCATCATCAAAACGTAGTATTCAACTGAAGCTGATCCTGTAGAAGTTGGTGCTGCCCATGAGACTGTAATAGTTGTAGCAGTTCTACCAACAAGCATGGGGCTTGTCATTCCAGAAGGAACTGCTATAGTTCTTGCATTAAGGATTGCTGAGTATTCACTATCTTTAAAAGCATTAGTAGCAACAACTGCATATGCATATTTATGACCTGCTGTAATTGCTGAATCTGTGTAAGTTAGAACTGAACTAGAAGTGATTCCTATCTGAGATAAGGTAGATGTTGAGTCGGACAAAGTTTGCCTAAAGATTTTATATCCAGTAATTGGTGTCTTTCCTGTGTCTAATGGTGCTCCCCAAGATATAATAACTTGGGTTTCAGAGAATGAATCTACTTGTGCATTGATTGGAGGGGTTGGAGCATCAACAATATTGAAAGCATAACCTGAGCTGAAAGGAGAATCTCCTACCATATTTGTACATTTAACTTTGAATATATATGTATTTCCTGGAACAAGGTTGTCAACAAGTGCGGTAGTTCCTAGTCCAAAGTAAGCTACTTGATCAATAACCTGTCCAGTTACTTCATCATAAAACTCTTCTACAAGGGTATAGGACAAAATAGATGATCCTCCGTCATTAGTCACTGCTGGCCAAGTTAGTTCGATACTATGAGAAGTTCTTGATACTTGTGTAATTGCTCCAGGAGCATCTGGCAAAGCTGCAGCTCTTAAAGTAATTCTGTCGCTTGGATCGCTTTCTAGAGGATTAAGTGCAGTAATCCAGAATTCATAATCTCTATCAAGAACTAAAGATGCGATTGATGCTGTTAAAACTGTGGCACTAGAACTTCCATCATAAGCAACTGATTCTATGCTAGTTGTCAGATCCTTTTGATATAGTTTATAACCTGTAATTGGCACTCCTCCAGCATTTGTAACTGAGTTCCATGCTAAGTCTATCGATGCTTCAGTGATACTAGTATTTAAAGAGGCAACTCTGGAAGGCATTTCTGGCTTACTTGGTTTAGTCATTGCAAAAGCATTATGTGGGGAACTCTTTACTCCTTCACCAATAGCATTAATAGCTGATACTTCGAACTGGTATTCTACTCCTGCAGTAAGACCTGTGATTTCATATTCATCAATATCATGAACTTCGAAAGCATAGCTATTAGTTGAGTACCTTTGGGTGACATAGATCTTATATCCAAGTATGTCTAGCTGTGTTGCAGGAGTAATAGTTAGCTTAGTCCAATGTAAAGTAATGTTAACTCCATTTAGCTCTGTAGATGCAGTATCAATAGTAACTTGACTAGGAAGAGCTGCTGCGTAATATTGAGATACTGGAGAGTAGTCTCCAGCAACTACAGATCCACTCTTTGCTCGTACTCTAAATCTGTATTGCTTTGTTGCAGTTAGCGATCCAACAGTGTAGCTAAGTTGATTAGAATTCATGGCTAAAGTCCAACTTTCAACATTTGCTGTTCCAGTTCCTTCTATAAGATCATAATAAAGTTGGTATTCTGTGATAGTTGAGCCTCCATCTTCAAAAGCTGGTTCCCACTGTAATTCTATTGAACCAGCAGCACTAGATACTAGAGTTGGTCTTCCTGGCTGACCAGGTGGAGCAGAAGTGAATCACGATACCTCATCACTATGCTCTCCAGTTCCTGCTTTATTTACTGCATAGACCTTGATCTGATATGTCCTCCTGGCTGAAAGTCCAGAGAGTGTGGCTTCTAAAGTAGAAGGGTTGTACTTTCCATCGTAGGCAACTACAAAATCATCTCCATCTAATCCATCATTGACTAAGACAACATATCCTTCGATGACAGTGTTAGCTGGAGGAGTCACTTGTGTCCAAGCCACTTTACAAGTATCTCTTGTTGAAGCTGTGATTGTCACAGTTGTTGGCTTCAGAGCAGTTTCTACAGCATAATAGCTTCTTGGCTGAGACTGACTTCCTTCTCCAATTAATGATTTGGCAGCGACAGTAAACTCATACAATGTACCTCCGGTGAGAGATCCTGCAGTATATGTGTACACAGTTGGGCCTAGTGTTGCTACAGCTAATGCATCTTGGTATACAACATAGTTAGTGATTGGAATATCATATGAATTTGGTGACTTCTCCCATGAAATTTCAATATCTGTAGCATTTGACTGTACCAAAGCAGGAGGAAGAGCAGGTGGTTCTGGAAGTCTTCCAATAGTAGCAGAAAGGATAGGGCTAGCTAAACTCTTGCCTGCAGAGTTAAATGCATGATAGATGAAGTTGTACTCACTTCCTGTTCTTAATCCTGTGATATTTGCATAAAGTCTTGAAGCAACTGATTCTCCATCATAAGCAATAATTGTTGGATAAGATCCATCTCCATCATTTCTGAGAACTTGGTATCCTGTAATTGTAATTGCTGAGGTGGGTGCTGTCCAAGCAATTTTAATGCTATCCACATCTCTTTGGCTTACTGTTGCAATAGCCAAGCTGCTTGGTACATCTGCAGCATATCCATAAATACTTGATGAAGGATCTGAATTTCCGACTGAATTTTGAGCAACTACTCTGATAGAATATTGCTGATTTGCTGTCAAGGTTAGAGTAGAAGCTGTTGTTTGGATTAGACTAGCTGATGTGAATGATGAAGCTGATGTCAGTCTATACTGCACAATGTATCCATCTAGTGACTTTCCACCATTGCTTTCTGGAGCATCCCAACTTATAGAAATTGATCCAACGCTCACAGAAGTAATTTGAAGATTAAGAGGTTTAGATGGAACTCCAGCTGCAATTAAGGTTCTTGTAGTGCTTGGCAAACTTTCTCCTGCTCTATTAGTTGCAGTAACTCTGATTAAGTATTGAGTTGACTTCTCTAATCCAGTGATTGTATACTGAAGGATATCAGCTCTCCCTTCTGAAGCAACTATGTAGGAATCACTACTTGAACTCTTCTTATAGTATAAGGTATATCCTGTGATAGCGCTTCCTTGAGTAGCTGGAGCTGTCCAACTTATTGTAGCAGAGATAGATCCGTCTTGTTGTTCTACAGGATTTCCAACAATGATTGGCTGTGCTGGAGTGGCTGGAACACCTGCAACTATGAATGTAACTAAGTTTGATTCGTCACTGCTATCAATTGAATTCACAGCATGAACTTGAATATCAACCAAGGCAGAGGTAGTAAGCCCTGTTTTACTCCAGACAAGATTTGATAGATCGCTAATTGTCTCATTTACAAAACTACCGCTTTGTGCAACATCATAAGAGACAATGTAAGATATAATAGGCAGTCCACCGTTGCTAATACTTGGATTTATCTTCAATGACAATGATGTAGAGGTGCTAGCTGTCAATGTTGGAATAGGAGGTTGAGATGGTTTAGTGCCGATAATCACTATTAGAATGTTTGAATCTCCACTTTCTCCCCAATAGTTAGCTGCTCTCACTATTAGTGAATAAGAATCTCCTGTAGTCAACCCTGATGGATTAGGATTCTGTGTAGTAGCTTGAGGCAGAGTTACTTGATAGTTTGAACTCTTTGTTGATGTTGAAAGCAATTGCTCAGTTCCATCTGATTTCTGTCTATAAATCCTGTACTCATTAGTCTCAATATTATTAGTTATAGCAGTATCAGGAGTCCAGCTCACAACAATGCTTGATTGGGAAGGTCTTGATACAAGTGTCAAAGCACTAGGAGAATTTGGAACAGAGCCAACTGTTACAGAGATTGAGTCTGAGGCTAATCCTTCGCTCTTATCGTTTACTGCTCTTAGAGATAAAGTATAAATTGTTCCAATAGCTCCTCCTGATGAAATATCATAAGTTATTATAGTAGTGTCTCCTGTTATAGTTAATGAGGTCTGGTCTACACCGTTAACAGTAAGAATGTATGATCTCAAAGGTAAGCAACCAGTATCTTCAGTATGATTCCATTCAATCTTGATGCTGGTGGTTGGAATACTTTCCGTGACTCTGAGGTTAATTGGAGCTCCAGGAGTTTGGCCAACTATAATACTCTGTTCAATTGGAGTGCTTTCAGTAACTTCATTAATTGAGGTAACTTGGACTCTGTAAGTCTTTCCACATTCAAGCAAGTTCATACTTCCATCTTGAGTTAGTGAGTGTGAAAGTACACTTGGCGATCCTTCTGTAGAGTACACAAATATAGGCTCGGCTCCTTCTCCATCATTGATATAGATCTTGTACCCATCAACTGAAGCAACACTCCCGCTTGATGGTTGAGTCCAAGCAAGATTAATTTGAGTTTGAGTTGAGGTAAGAGCTAAAGTTGCAGGGGTATAAGGAACCTCAAAAGTAAATATCAATGCATCACTCTTTTCGCTCTCTGCAATTTCATTCTCAGATGATATCTCTACTTTATAGCTTGTACCATCAACTAAAGGAGATATAGTAAAGGAATGAGGTCCGATAGGATTGAGAGTCAAGTTCAAGTTGTTGTTCACATAGACATTGAAGTTCTTGATATAATATCCTCCATTATCACTAGGTGGAGAGAAAGTCAAAATTGCTGAAGTAGTGCTAGGGTAAGATGAAACAATAGGAGCAGATGATATCTTAGCAGGTTTTGACCCTGATTTGACTTCTAATTCCAGTGCTGCACCTGTCATTCTTCAAGCAATGGCAGTCACCTGGAACTTGTATGTCCTGGATGCAGTGACAGGGGTGATGGCTGATGTCTGGAAGCCTTCGTAAGCTAACTTGAATCCAGGGTCTAGAATATCTTCCATCCAAAGTCTGTACTTGTCAATGTTTCAGCCTCCGTCTGAAGCTGGTGGAGTCCAGTCAAGAGAGATCTCAGATGTTGATTGAGACAAAACGACAAGTGTTGCAGGTGCACCTGGGGCTGCTGCTGCGTAGAACTCATAAGCTGTACTGTACTCTCCAGTTCCAATAGCGTTTACAGCTGCAACTTCAATTCTGTAAGTGAGGACTGAGTTAGTTAATCCTGTAAATTCATGTTCAGTTCCAGAGACACTCACTGGAGTTTGGAAGGCAGTTCCTGGGCCAGCATCTCTTCTGATCGAATAACCAGAGACTGCAGATCCTCCATCGAATAATGGGGCACTCCATTGCACTTTGATTGTGGTAGTAGTTGAAGTTGCTAGAGTCGGTCTGTCCATCTTAGCAGGGACGCTTGCTGCAACTAGGGTGAGATCTGCTGTAGGTCCTGTTCCAACAGCATTGACTGCTGCCACACTGATCTTGTACGAAGAGCCAATAGTCAAGCTGAAGATGGTGTGCATGTATTCGGTGTTCTCTGCTTCATAGATGAGTTTGTCATCTTGATATACATTGTATCCTGTGATTCCAGTTCCTCCGTCACTGGCGGGAGCTGCCCACTGGACTCTGATGATTCCTGCACTCAAAGTGTCTTGGTCTACTCTTGTAAAAGCGGTTGGTGCTCCTGGAAGTTCTGCTAACAGAATAGCTACTTCGTCTGACAATGGTCCAGGTCCAATGGAGTTCTCTGCAGAGTACTTGAACCTGTAAGTCCTTCCAGTGACCAAAGTCAAGGCGCTTGTGGAATAGGTGAGGGCTAGGCCATTTGGAATGGCTGCTCCGAATGCTCCGTCAAGTCCATCGTCAATGTAGATATTGTAGTGAGAGATAGAGGCTCCTCCGTCGTCTTCAACTGCTTCATAGCCTAAGTGAATCACAGTTTGAGTAGTTGAAGCAGGATTATTAGTAGGTGGATTTGGAGGTTTCGAGGGAGCTACAATTGGCTTGAAGGTAAATTCTGAAGAGGTCGGTCCATATCCTAGGAAGTTTTGAGCTGACACTCTGTATTTGTATGATTGTCCAGCAATAAGTCCATCGTGCTTATATGAAAGCCCTGTTTGTGTTACAAGATTACTATATCCAGTTCCATAACCATTATCAACTTCGAGCAAGTAATTAGTGATTGTAATTGAAGTGTCGCCTATTCCTGTATCAGTAGGAGCAGTCCATGTAAGTGTAAGAGCATTCTGTTCATAGAGGGTAACACTAATCGTAGCAATAGCATTTGGAAATGTAGAAGGAACCAGGTTAACTGCATCACTTGCTAAAGATGAAACTCCAAAGCTATTAGCTGCCTTGATAGTAATTGAGTAGGATTGTCCTGGTGTTAAAGAGCTTATCTTAGTAGTTGTTATCAGACCTACAGAGGTAGTACTTGGTGTTGATCCATCGTCAAGTGTGATCTCGTATCCACTAATAGCAGAACATCCAAAGTCGGTTGGAGGTGTCCAATTAATAGTCAAAGAATTTGATTCAAATGTGGTAGAATCTCCTTGTGTTACTGCATTCATCTTCATTGGCGAGTAGATAGAGGCTGATATCACTGTTGAACCTGTGATTGGCACAGCTGAGATGTCAGGAGTATAGAACTGAGCTGCAGGAATAATCTCTTGACTTTGAGAAGTGCTTGTCCATTCCAAGAATATGAATGCATCTCCTGTAATGTCATAATATTCAACTTTAATTGGAACATAGCTATTGGCAGTTAGTGAAATAGTAGGACTAGTTGAGGTGATAGAATTTCCATCAGCAACAGTCTGAGTGAGCTTATTAATCAGAACTTCTCCACCAACTGTTAGTTTTACTCCATCGTTAGACCTTATAATAAAAGTATAGGCTTCAGTATACAGTGGCTTTAAGTATCCTGTCCAGATAACTGAGGTATAGTCACTGCTGACATCAGGAATAATCTCATTCTGTTGCCAGTTCACATTTATCTGAGTCTCTTTCTGAGTGATTGCTGGAGTTCCACTGAACCATCTGTTCGGATAGTACTTAGCAATGAGTCCTTGATAGACAAAGTAAGCATTTACTCCTAGGGTACCACAAGTTGAACTATCTGTACTAATTGGTGTAGGAATTGTATAGCTTGTTTGATAAGTAGCAGCAGGTAAACTGTTTATAGGGACAGTTCCAGAGATTAGCTTATGATTCCCAACAATTTCGTAAGCAATATCATGAGAAGTGGTTGTAATATCGTTTCCAAATGAGTCAACAGCCTTAATGTCAATTGCAGTTGCTGATCCTATTGATGTTGAAGCAGCATGGGTCAAAGTGGATTGGGTCGGATTTGGCAATCCTGGATTGATTGTTAACGCAGATGTCTTTGTATTTGCTGTGTCAGAATTTACAACTACCTCTATTGTATAAGATCCAACAATTCCATGTTTGTATTGAGCAGTATAAGTTCCGTCATTGTTGTCAATCACCCAAGTTGTTCCTACACTTAATGATCCTGAGTCTTTCAGTGTCAAGACAACAGTGTCTCCACCAGATGTTCGAGCATTGTTCTGGGTATCATAGAGAGATACTGTAAAGCTCATGATTTCACCTGCAGTTGCTGCTGTTAGAGCAGCTCCAGTCATTTGAGTCTTTGAAGGATCTGTTGTAGAATCAATACATGTTACAGTGTATGGAGATCCCGCAATAACAGAAGGAGAACCACCTCCATTAGGATCAACACTGATCACCATTGAGTAAGTCCCTTTAGTTGGTAAGGTGTAAGTAGCACTGTATTGTCCGTTAGCTGTTGCTGTTACTACTCCATTTACAACTGGAGTTCCTGCTGAATGAGTTAGAACCACTGTGAAAATATCTGATTGGTGAATCTGAACATTCTCATAAATATCTCTAGCTGTCAATGTAATAGTTTCAGAAGCACCTGCTACAGCTTGAGAGTAATCTCCTGCAATAACTATCTTGGTCGAACTGGTGTCCAGAGGATTCACAACTAATGTAAAGGGTGTTGAATCAGAATACAAAGTGTTGTACAAGTACTCTTCTGGAACTACTTGCTTAGAGATTTGGTCCGATTCCCAAAACAGTACTATTTTGCTTTCACCAATTTTCTCTGAAAATGTGATATCAATATCATAAAGAGTGTTTACTGTCAATACTTTGTCAGCATAGTAGTGATCTCCAGTTCGAATTACTCCAGAGGCAGATGATTGGAGATCAATTAGGATTTCCCCTCCAATAGTAAGCTTGACAGTGTAGTAATCTTCAGAGCCAATGTAGAACCTATATTTCCCACTTTGAGGAACTTTGATCTTTCCGGTCCATTCAATCGAGAAGTATTGAGCTGGCATTCCACTCAAGACTTGCAAGTAATCAGAGTCAATATTCACAGTCTTGTCTATCTGGGTATAATGAGAAGGTGCTAACCCACTATGGTAATGTAGAGAGTTAGTTTGAATATCATCATAAAATGAAACTGTCTTATAATAAGTCCCTCTCAAGCCACCATCTCTGATAAGTCCAATCACCACGTCATATATTCCAGCTTTAGTAAGAGACAGAGTTGCTTCATAAATTCCAAACTTATAAGTCATAGTCTGCACTGTTGTAATAGAATCAGAAGGATTATAGATACTTAAGAAAAATTCATAATTACTGTTCTCTGTTGGCACTGTGTTAGAGAATATATCCCTTCCTTCGACCTTGAAGTTGTTTGAGCTGCCAGCTATAATGGGAGTAGGAGAGGTGTCAAATATGGACTTAAGAGCAACAACACCTCCAGGGGAAACAACGATTCCTGTATAAGGTGAACTAGCAACATCGGTAGCATTGGTGGAATCTTTGACATGTAACGCATATGTTGAGACTGTAGAGAGAAGCTGATTTACAGTATATGTACCATCATTATTTGAAGTTGGAGTAATAGCAGTCTCAGCAGAGGTGGAGTCTATAAGTGTAACGACAAAAGTCTCAGAAGTTGATGCAGTTCTTAGGTTGCCATAAGCATCTCTGGCTTCGATATTGAAGTTCAAATATTCACCAGTGGCATATTCAGTCTTAAATGAAGTGATTGTAGTGGTTGATAAGTCTGTTGTGGTTCCAGCTGTGACTTCTATATCAAATGGAGAGCCTATTACATGCTTTCCTTCAATCATAACCACTAGCTTATGAGAACCAGAGACTGTAGGAGTGAAAGAGACATCGTAAACACCTGCATTTGCAGAATCAACGATTGTTCCAGAGAGAACCAAGTTATTCGTAGCAGCATTATTCAATTGGATTGTAGTGGAAGATACAGCAGTGATAAGAGTCTGAGCATTGTTCCCATAGAAGTCTCTTCCTTGGATCTGGAATGTAGTTAGAGTTCCTGAGGCAGCAGTTGTTGGTGCAGAAGATGCTACAGATTGAGGAGCATATACTTCAGAAGGATTTACAGTGAGAGTAGAGAATGGAGATCCAGATATTGATTGATCGTTCACCATCACTTCTATGTTAAAGGTTGCAGCTCTGAGGATTGTTAGCTGTGAACTATAGATACCATTTCCTTGACTTTGAGCAACTCCTGCAATATCTTTGCCATTGACAACTTCCCAGTCAGTAAGATCAGCAACTCCAATGGGAGAGTCAAAGGCAGAATCGTCTTGGAATTTAGCCATTATCGAGATTAATTCTGTGTTCCCATCTGGTATGGTTGTTCCAAACAAGTCTTTCAGTGTGATGTCAAAGAAGAAGGTAGTTCCAGCCACCATAGAAGCAGGCAAGCTCAAAGTTGTAGTTGTCTGAAGAGCACTTGGTTCGCCTGGTGAAACAATAACAGTGAAAGGACTGCCACTAATATGACTTCCAAGAAGGGTAATGTCAAGAGTGAAAGTTCCTGCCTTTGTTGGGATGTAGGTTGATTGGTACATACCTACTGGTCCTTGATATGTAGTAGTGAATGAGATATCACCTCCACCAAGTGGGTTGGTATTGGTTAATGAGAGTAAATAGACATCATTTGTATTGTCAAGTGGTGCAGAAGCAAAATCTCTACTCACAATGTCAACTATTGATGCTTTTCCAGCAGTTGCACTAGTTAGTCCAATCCCTGATGCTGTAGATTTGTCAGCTATACTAGGTCCATTAGTAACTGTAATATCATAAGGAGAGGACCCAACCATCTTCGGGTAGTACAAGTAGCTGCTTGGAATGATCTCTTTTGGTACAGAAAGTGAAGACCAATATAATTTAACTCTAGCTTTTCCTTGTGTTTCCTTGTACTCAAGCTTGATGTCATAGAATCTATCTTTAGTCAGTAGAACAGTGAAGATCTGGTCTTCTCAGCATTCATCCCATCTGTCTATCTTTAGCTCTCCATCGAAGTACAGTCTTATTCCATCATCAGCTTCGACAGTGAAGAAGAAGTCTTCTGTGACAGGTGCTTTTATCATAGTATACCATGCTACTGAGACAAAGTCTGTTGCTGCTGAGGTAATGAGTCCTGTGCCCCAGTCATGTTCAATTCTGGGCTCTATGGCACTAGTTGCTTGTGCTCCATCAAGAAAAACATTCTCGAAATACTCAGCATAGGCACCTCCAGTTTGCATTAAGAATACAGAAGCAGTGACTTCTCCATTTAGTGGCACATAGTAGGTTCCAGTGTAGGTGCCATCTCCATTATCTATCATTACACTGACATCGTCATTGTCTAGTATATCTGGAACAGTGCTGTCGTCCTTACAATTGAAGTTATTGATTATCTTGACACATCTATTCTTCACGTGTAGTGCAAATATGTCTCCTCCAGTGGTAATAGCAGTGCTTGATGAGTCTCTAGCTTGAACCACGACACTTTGAGTAACATATGCTTCAATACTAGTGTCAATGGTAACTGTACTGTGTTGTGCGCTCGTAGCAGAGGTCAAGACTAAGTCCAACTGAGGACTATTAAGACTAGGTCCTATCCAGTTAATAGCTCTCACTCTAAAAGAGTATGTAGTCACTTGGAGAGCAGCACTGTTGAAACTAGTGACTTCAAGTTGGCGTGCTCCTGGATTTTCAGAGCCATCATAGACCTGTGTGAAGGTAGAGAACCCATCATCAGACATGTCAACTTGGTAGCCAAGGATTGGAGTACCTCCGTCAGAAGCAGGTGGTTGCCATTCTATTACTATCTGGTCTAGATTCTGGATGATTACTGTGGGCACTAAGGGAGTATCGGGCACATCAGCACACATCATAGATACGGGGATAGAGTATCCAGAATCATCACCGCCTGAGGTATAGCGAACGGATACCTTGAATAGTGAACCATCAGCAGAGGAACAGGGTATTGTATCCGTGAGTCCAGTCACAGCGGCTTTTGTTGTTTCTGAGTTCGACTAAATGCGGGAGGTTAGATTAAGCTAGATATACCCAAATATGCCAAAGTTAGGATAGTGGCCAAATACATGATACTTAGACTATTAGCCTGAAACCCTACTCAAATGACCACACTAGATCATTCAGTATGAAGGTATAGGCTTGTACCAAATTATGGCTGAAAGTGCCTGCATCACTATCGTAAAGAGAAGAATGTTCGAGAAATTAACACAAAGCAATCTGGGTTCTTACCTCGTCAGCATATTTAATTTGGTATTGAGAAGCTCCTGAAATAGAGCTCCATGCTACCTGGATTACCGTGCCTGTAAATCCAGTCCTCGTTGGAGGAGCTGGTGGCGCCAATGCTAAATTATAATGTTAAGTTACAAATTAAAGAGTGTCTGACTTACTAGCAGCCAAGGCAGAGGGTACAAGTAATGCGACAAGTAAAACTAAGAAAACTGATACGATAAGTCCAGAGCTTAAGCTTCGCTGGTCAGATTGATCCATCTTAGAGTGTTTGCGATTGCGTATCATCTTTATTTAGTTTTATTATATAAATTAAGATCAATATTTTCTTATAAAAAAGGGGTTTTGGGGTTTTGGGGTTTTGGGG